ATCAAAGTTTTCTCATAGAGAACTCAATCTAGAAAAAAAAACTGCTTAACAAGGCTCCTAGAATCTATCTCACCAACTACTACAACACACACCGCACCTTTGTTATCACCGAAAAAGTCTCTATGCCCAAAAAAGGGGTGTGGTGACTGGAATGGTCACTCTTGGCTCCGCCCCTAACAAACTCAAACATTGATAGGAGCAGAAAACTTGAGCAAACTTTCGCTTCGATTTCCATGATCAAAATAAACCATCCACTATTTTTTTTTCTTTCGCGCCTAACATGTCTTCTGATATGTTTGATTGTCAGCTTATGACACCACTCAGAAGGATTTTGGACATCATGACTTTCTTGGTGATGAAAACAAATATGGTCAGAGAGGGGGAAAAATGGGCAAGTTGTCAAGAGGGACCCTGTTGAACGGGAAGAATGGGGGGTAAACAGTAAAAAAGCGGAGGGGGGGGGGGGGGGATTGTTATGATAGGATATGCGGAAGGTGCGGGAGGTAGGAGTGGCAGGAGTGGCAAACGGATGGTAATTAAAAGAGAATCAGAAGAGAATATTATTAGGATGAAAAATTGAAAAATTAACATGAAAAGCTCAAGAATATCTGATCCAGTAGTTATTGTAAGAGCAAGACAGCATACTGTATTTGCTCTGATAGAAGCACTTTGAGCTCAATTATCTCGGTTCCTATAAGAGATATCAAAAGTCTGTAAACTAATAAAATAATGTTGATATTATGATAAATAATTTATCAGTTCAACGTTTTTGATATCTTTATAAGGAACCGGGATAATTGAGTTCAAATTTGACGCTTTAGTTGGACTTCTATTTGAGAAAATACGGTAGTAGGACGTCTTTTGCGTTACAGGATTCACGGTAAGTCAATCAAATTTCAGTTGTTCAGGTTCCAAACTTAAGACTGGTTTGACAGTATCATTTCAAGACTGTTAGTACTAACCAAGACTAACTTAAATAGCAATTCACTTGCAAAAAGTTCTAACAACTTATCCGTTCAATTTGAAAATTTTGGATGAATTACCCAGACGAGATATACCAATTGTGCAAGGTTTTGGACTTTATCTAGTGCCAGGAAGTGAAGCTCATTTGACTAATATTATACAAAACAGTAGCCAATTTCCCAAAAATGTTAGATTATCCTTTTCTGGCACTCAAAATTCCTCGACCAGAACTTCTGAACATCTGATTCCTTATGTTCACCCGTTCATAATATTTCTCTCATGTTAATGACTTTATCACCAAAGGAGTGGCGTCTCTTCAAAGTCCAGAAAGTCTCTCTTCATTCGCAACAATATAACTTTTAAGTATCCCTTTCGGGAAAGGAAGTTTTACGGGTGTGAACCATCGGGACCCTTCTCTCTAGTGGGTGCGGTGGTGGTGATTACTGTTTATTAAAAGAGATACCGACACGGAAGGGAGGGAAGTATGTAAACGTATCGTCCCTCGGCGTTTTTTCCTTGAGTGGCTTGAAGATAAATAGGGATGTTCGATTTTATGATGAATTACTTTTTTGGCGGTTTCTCAGCCAGATGAATGATTGGTGTGATACTCTTTCGGGTGTCAATAGTCAGATGGCATGAGGCATGCAATATAAATGAAAATGTCAAGATTTGTATTAGGTTGGCGGGAAAGTCTATGTCACTCTGTTTGTTTAATCACTGTTCTCGTATATGGAGGCTGTGTATGATATCGACTCTAGTGAATAACAAGGTGATAAGAACCTTCCATATAAACAAGTCCCCATTTCCTTCCCTGCTCCTCATCTGTAATTGAAACGATATGTTTGTTCCCACTGCTATTCACATCAGACATGTTTTGATTTACCTCTTCCTATCTCACACCACGATGAGGATTCGGAAACTTTCTTGAAGAATGTGTACAACACACATGCCCCTCACTACAATACTATTCGCAATTGGTTCCATCGTTTCGAAAAAGATGACTTCTCGCTCGATGAAAAGGATCGCTCTGGGAGACCCCGTGAGTTGGATTTGGACAAGCTGAAGCACGCATTGCAATCGGATCCATTTCAATCTAGCCGTGAACTAGCTGTCACATTCGGAGTTCACCATAGCACAGTCCTTGAAGGTTTGAAGTCTCTTGGAATGAGAAAACTTTTTGGTCGATTCATACCTCATCACCTGACTCAAGCCAACCTTGACCGCCGAGTCGACGATTCGATTACTCTTCTCACTCTCCACGCGGGCGATCGATGGCTGGACCGGCTAATAACCGGAGATGAGAAGTGGGTCTTCTACGATAATCACCACAGGAAATCCCAGTGGGTTGGAGAAGGAGAGAGCCCACAGGATGTCCCCAAACCCGGCCTTCATCCGAAAAAAGTTATGCTCTCTGTGTGGTGGGGAGTGGACGGCCCCATCTACTGGGAACTTCTGCCCGAGGGCAAAACAATAACTGGAGACCTCTACACTACTCAACTACGAAACCTCAAGAAAGCAGTCGACCGTTCGGCCCTGAAAGACAAGAAAGTGTACTATCAACATGATAACGCTCGCCCACATGTTTCGAAACAAGTGAAGCAGGAGCTGATGGGATATGGATGGAATGTTCTCCCTCACCCCCCGTATTCTCCTGATCTTGCTCCTTCCGACTATTGGTTATTTGGCGATATGACACGTGCCTTCGAAGGAAGAAGCTTCAATTCCCGTGGAGCGGTCGAAGCGGCACTCAAACAATACTTTGCCTCACGCCCGGCTGGATTCTACCGCAATGGAATCCATAAATTGAGGGAACGTTGGAGACATGTTGTTGATAATGATGGACAATATAATTAATTATTCGGTTATTTTTTCTTTGAGAAATAAACTATTGAAAAAGTGACAAAGACTTTCCCGCCAACCTAATATTTCAAGTTCTAAAACCAGAAATCCAAAAGAAAATTCACAAGATCTCGAAGAAAATGAAATCTGAATAATCTTGATGAGTAAACAAGTATTTATGAAGTAAATAGTGATACAAATATTTATGTTTGTATACAAAAACAATCAACTACAAAAACCAGGAATACGAAACCGAGTAATTTATCGGTAGAATTACCGGTAAATTTACCGAAAACTATAACCGATCCACCTAAAACTGTGACCGGACCTATTAAATCAATTCGTATCATTTTGCAACAGCAACAGTTGAGAACTGACCGATTCGTAACTGAGTCGTTATAGAACCGCGACGTTTTCAAACCGTAATGTTTCAGAACCGCGAGCTTTCAGAACCAGGTAGATTTTTTAGAACCGTGGCGCTTTTGAACCAAGTCGTTTTAGAATTTCGACGTTTTAGAACCGTGATATTCTAGAACCACGACGTTTTAGAACTGACCATTTCAAAACTGTGACGTTTTAGAACTGACTTGTTGGTCCGTTTGAAAACTTGATTGTTTTTATTTTCACAAAAATGTCGTTTTGAAAATTCGAAGAGAATATTTCATCACATTACTTTATTTGAATTGGAACTAGAAAAAATTACAGAGATCGATTTTTGGAAAACTGAAACTTTCATGATTTCGAAAATGTCTCTATAAATAACTTTGTACAACGAACTTTAAACACCAAACATACATTACCGAAATATCGTGTACAATTTCTGTCTAGGGAAAATTAAAGGTACATGGTGATGTGTGAGCATTTACAGAAAATTGATAATGTTAGCGGAATAACAATGAAAAACAAAGTTACAGTACTATTGAAAATTTGTGAATATACAAAACCACTAGACATTCATATCTGTATTTATCATATTCGTGTTAGTTGATACACGATTGGCTGTAGATCTCTGTGCATCTGTTTGCTCCTTGTACGTCGTAGATTTCAAGGCTTGTGTCTCGTTTGCAACGCCCAACATGTTGCGCATAGCACTACGATAGTCACGGCTGAAATTTAATAAATGTGTATCTGTACGTCATACATAAAGGTTTGGCAACTACTACAAACGTATCATCCCATGTCAATATTTCTGTAGTCTCTAATAGGGACGTGGACCATTTTTTTAAAGTCTTACCTCAACTTATAATAAACCACTGCATTGAACGCGGAAGATGTGAAAATAAACGTTCCACAGTACAACTGTATCATGTTTGCTAATTTTGGATCCATTGGAATTGTTACAGAGAGTGCTCCGATCAAATCTGTTGTCATCCATCCACAGACAACAAGACAAACGGTCACAAGCAGAGATTTGAACACAGCTTTCACCGAACTGCCTGGAAATATTTTTTTCTGATTATGGCTTTTTAGTACAAGTTACAACTCACTTCTGACTTTCTTGATTCTAAAGTAGACGTAGACGTAGATGGGTGGTACGAAGAGATTGATAACGAACGAAGTCAACGCGAACAGGTCGTAAGCGTGTCCCAAGGAGTTTGGAAGAAGACATGGGACGGTTCTAGAAACAGATTGTTCAATAATTTACGGATAAAGACAAAGATTAGACTAAGAGCCAGTCACCAAACATCTCATGACCTACTTTGTCGGATCACGTTGACCAAATCCCACGACTAGCAGAGCAAGGGCGTAGATGACGGGAAAAGCCATGAGAAGTGTGAAATATTTGACTCTCTCGAGTTCTAGCATCTTGTATCTGGAATAATTGAAAAGTTGTCAAACGGACATCTGGACAAACCGCACCTTCCTGGACTAGCTACCGCTATCAATCGATCTATCCCCACTGCCAACACACACGCGTTCGAAGCAAACGCTCCAAAGTCGGCAGGAATGTTGATGTAGAAGCACATTTCTGAAAACTGATGATACCGTATTCCATCTAGGATACTTTTCTAAATAACGTAACCACTCTAATAAAACGTCACCCGATTCGTTAAATTTGAGCCCAAGTATCTCATTTTCTGTGAAAGATATAAAATATTGGTTAACTAATAAAATGTCGCTGGTATCATGATAAACTTTTTATTAGTTGACAACTTTCTGATATCTTTCAAAAGAAGTGAGATGTTTAGGCTCAAAGTGGACGGTCCGGGTGGCGTTCTAATAGAGTGTGTACGGAATTTTCTCCAAACCTTGACTTATTGGAATAAACATAGAGATGAAGAATGCGATGATGTCGGTGAACAAGAGCATATCACAAAAGCAGCACGCACAAATCAACATGTTGCAAATTGAGCGGAGGTTTCTGAAACAAAAAACAGATCGGTGGGATACAAAATTTGTCAAACTTACTTGCTGTGAAAAGTGACAAGAACCATCAGAAGGTTTCCTGTAAATCCGACCACAAATACTGTGGAATAGATCACTAGGAGGATGACCAGAAGGGGCTCCATATGATTCTGGAAATCGAATATTTCAAGTTTAGAAAAATGTGTTTTCAGCTTGATTTCTAGAAAGCCTCTTCTTGTTTTCAGACTGATTCAATCCAGAATCTTGTGATTCGAGTGAGAGGGAAAAATTCTGAGCCAAAGAACGTGGGAATTTGGTCTGTGTAACTGATGTTGCCTAGGAGAAGTCGCATTTCAAACTAGACAGATTTCGGACTTACAGAGGAAGTTACATTGTGTGGGAACGCCCTTTATCTTGGATTCATTAGACCTAAAAAGATCAAAGGGCATTCAGGGAGTGTGGACATTTTGACAGTTTTACAAGGGTTGGAAAAAAAGAATTTTGATCTGAATGGACGTATTGAACAAAGTTGAAGTGGTAGGTAGGAAACATTGAATGAAAAAACGTCAAGGGGTTTCAAACAAATTAATAAATCTAAGTTTTGAATTTAAAGGAAAATGAAAGATTCAGGAAAAATATTCTACTTTTTTTTGGAACCAAAACTAATCTAACTACCCTAAACACTCTAATATTTAGAACTCCACCCTGACCGTCTACTTTGAGCCTATATATCTTACTCCTTTTGAAAGATATCAAAAAGTTGTCAACTAATAAAATGTTTATCATGATATCAGTAACATTTTATTAGTTAACCACTTTTTGATATCTTTCACAGAAAATTAGATACACGGACCCAAATTTGACGATTCGGAAAAAAAAACAAAAAGGATAGAATATTCAGAACTGAAAATCTTTGAATTTGTACAACGTATTTTCAAAATTTGGTCGTCTATTCCGCCTACTATAGTTTTTCTATTTTAAAAATATGAATTTTCGAACACCAACCATCATAATATACCTTCTTCTACATCATACGTTATTTTTGTCTTAATGAGCTGAAGAAATGAAAAATCGGATAACAAAAATACCTTAAAAAGTGGGTAAGATGAAAACAGATTAATGGATTCTGAATTAATGAAAGGGCCACCTTTTGTTTTTTCTTAATATCATCATTTCCTTATAATAGAATATCCTAAAATCAAAGAACAAAAAAAGGAAGTTTTTATTCAGTTAAAACCATGGGAATGACGACTTCAGCAAGGAATTTTTCATACTTGCAGCCGGACCTTTCTTCTCGAATCAATATTTTTAGACCGACTAAATTAGATGTGATAGAACTCGGCGATTTCTACAAAATGATATTATTTGGAAAACTGTATCTTGTCTATGAACAAAGTTATAGACCAAACAGGCCGAAAAAACCGCCAGGGCCCGGCCCGCCCCGGATTTGAAGCTTTATGGCTTGTAACTTTAGACAAGATACAGATTCTCAAGAAGTTTCATTTTCTAGTGTTCGTTCTATATATCTAGTTTAGTTAGTCAAAAAAAAATATTATTTCTGAAAGAAACTATGGGACTGCCCGCGAAGGGCACGGCAAAGGCTCTGTTGGAAGTATAACGACTTTGGTCAGGAATTTGTAGTATAATAGTAAAAATATCAAAAGTATGGCTCTATTTCCAGATAACGAAGTTTCATGGCCAATGCTTTCCCAAAATAAGAGTTTCTGCAAATTCCATTAAAATTTGATCTAGGTTGGGATCACAGATGTAAACCACATGTCATATCTAAAAAATTTGATTGATTAGAATTTTTTGTATGAGGAATTGAAAATACAATTAAAAAAAATTGAAAAAGGAACTTAAATTTTAAAAAATTATACTTCAAGAATGTAAAAAAAACCGGAATGTAGAGTTAGTTATTCAGGAGTTAATAAAGATTTGTTTTTCGTTACATTAGGCTACATTTAGGGGATTTAGGGGTATGACTTAGGTGCAAACATGTGTGAAGCACTTTGATTTTTGATCCAAGACCTTATTTTAACATATTTTAAGTAATCTTATACACACACGAAAGCCCGTATCCCAAAGAAAAAAAAATAAAAAGAGAAGATAAAAAATTGCTGGTGGAATAATAAGTTTAATTTGAAATTAAAATGCTAACGCCATTGAAATTGCCATCCATCCATTCTTTGAATTAATGCTAGACTGGAATGTCCAAAAACAGAACTGGACAATTATATTAGTCACCACACTTTCTGGAATAAATGTGTTTTGATGGTTTGACGATTTTTTTAGAATTTCCAAGCATATTCCATTGAATGAGTGGATAATCAGGAAAACAATATTTCTGTGTCATGTGTACCCGGAGGTTCTACTTTCAGGAGCAATCTGCGAAAAAAATTCTTATGGAAATCGGAAAACTTGAAAGTATTATACGGCCTTAGACCAAGATTGGGACATTTTTCAGAAGAGAAAATTCGCAATTTTCAGAAATCTGAGAACCCGGAAGTGAGAGAAAATGTTCCCATAAGCTTTTAATTAAATTCCTTAGTTAGCCACCTTATTCAGAAAAGTAATTAATTGGAACCAACTAAAAAACTGAATGAACACTATCTATTTGAAAGTACCGTATCATTATAATCATAAATATATTAAATAAATGAAGTTGCGACGAACAACAAAATAAATAAGTTGAATGGTGCCGAAGGCGCACCAGCCAGCTATTTGAAGCGTCGGAGGCGTCGCAAACAGGCTGGTAATAAATAAATAAAGTTGGGTCTCTTCATCTGTTACTCTGTCCGCACATTTTTGAAAAGCTTGAAAATTGTATAAAAATTGACATTACCTTTTAGTAAAGCGACGAACGAGTAAGAAATAAGTTAATTCGCGCCGTAGGCGCACCAGCCAGCTGTTTGAAGCGCCGCAGGTGCGACGTCATGGCGCTGTATCGCAGTTTTCCGGTATTTGGAACCACTTCCATCACAAAAATCAAAATATAAATTGGGTTACGGTATTTTCTGAAAAATCACCTGTCGCTTACGAAGCAGAATACCATAGTTTTCACCTGGTAGGATACAAACTTTCGGTTGAAAAACTGAAATAAACCAGGTGATTCAAGGGTGGTTGTCATGGAATTCAGTAGTCGACATGACACGATCAGATGCTGAAATTTCAGATTTCATATTTTCTCTTCAAGGTTCAGAACCGAATTCCGCTTCACAAAATTGTTTTCTTTGATTCCTTTTGTTCCCAAAATCTCGTTACAGGATGCTAGATGGTCTCCTGAACCCGGGTACCTCCTATAACGCCTCCTTCTGTTACAATGTCTCCAGAGGTCGTCTTGTAACAATTGAATGCGAGTATCCCATATTTTACTATGTAGAAAGTGCGCTCTACCGAACATTCTTTGGATGCTTTTTCCATCTTATCGAAGTCCTTCTCCTTGGAGCCCTCTGGTTCTGTAATATCTGGATACAGAGAGATTTCACTGAAGCCTACATGTCGTCTGTAGCAGTGCCACTTTCCATTTCTACCGTAATGAAGATTGCCACGTATGTCTGGGAGCTGATGTTTCCGAGGGATATCGAAAAGGCTTGGTTGATTGATATGGCGTATGCTACAAGTGTGACAACCGCGCAGATGACACTTGTGATGGGATTGCCGTTCTTGTTGTTCATGGCAATGCGGATGGGAACTTCTAGGAAACAGAATTATGGAATTTGTACATGGTGAGTTGAAGTCTAGCTTTTTTTTCTCATTTCAAATGTTTCAGGATTCCATTCCTACTAATCCTCATTGTCTCCTTCCCACTATCAGGAGTCTTCAACATGTTCTATAAACCTACCTATGCCGCTCCATCCCTAGTTGCCATCCTTGCCCTAATTATCATCTCTCTTTGCTTCATGTTCGCTTTCATTGGAATGGGATGTATGACTTTTGCATGCTGTGCTAAACAAAAAATCGCTATGGACATGTTGGATCCAGTCATCTACGACGCACGGAGTAGATTGGGTTGGGCAATGTTGTACTCGATTTTGGCTCCGATTTCCATTTATCCATGCTTCTGTAAGTTGTTTAAAATATGACCTCCTTTAAAGTACCGCGGTTTAAGATTGCTTTGTCTCATTGGCATTCTTTCTGGACATGTCCAATGACTATGCAATCCTCTCTAACGAAATGGCTACTCGGGTCTGGAACTTCTTCTTCGGACCCACCGTACTCATTTTCACCTTCGTCATTCTTCCATCCTATCGGGACACGATCATGTGTGGGTAAGTAAAGCTACAGTATCACAGTTTCAGCTGCTGCGTTTGTTATTTTTACTGCTTACAGGTGCAAATATCGCCGTTTCCAACGTCGAGTTCAAATGGGCGCATTAGCAGCACCGACTGCTCAGGGAGTTACTCAGCAGATTAGGGTACTGTAGATAATAAACGCTTTCCTTAAAACTAAAATTTAAGATCTCGGAACCCGAAAAACTCCCAGTCGAATTCATCAAAGAGCCCGAGCAAAAAGTCCCACTTGAACCAATGTTCGTCACCACCCACAGTGCCGATTCAAAACGCCCACGTCCAGCCTACCCCGTTCAAACTTATCCGGACAAGTATTGAAAGTTCTTTATTGGCATAAATAAATACGTTGCCATGTATAAATTATAACAATAAATAACAACACTGCTCCTTCTCACACTGATGCAAAGTTGGGCAATCGGAATCTTCTGAGCACGGTCCGACAGAGCGGAGACCCGATGAGCATTTCTTAAATTACGGTTTTCATGTTTATCAGCATCAAGTCTCACCCTATCTTCGTTTTCCTCCACATATGGGTCCACTGTGACCATTTCTTCGATAATGAGCTCTGGAGTAGTTGTGGTAGTGCGCGAACGTTCAATCAACTTGTTCCATTCCTCGAGTTCCGCGGATTTCATCTAAATATATTTTTTTCGCTCAAAAAACAGTATCTGGTCAACCTAGTAGCTTCAACCTACCACATCATTCTCATCATCCTCTCCATTCTCGCCAACCGGCGTCACAGTAGTCGTGGCCACCACCAGCTTCCTCTTCCCTTTCTTTTTTCTCGTTGTCTCCCCATCTATCACATCTGGAGCCTCGGTAGTCGACATACCTCCTAGAATGCTGACAAATGGAGTCGTACAGCATGCACCGTGTGTACAAGTTCCACCCAATGCGATACAAATTGAGTCTTGATCGAGGCGACACTGTCCGATATGGGCGCCACCGTTCAGACATCGGAGAGGGCTCCCAAATCCTGCGCCGGCGTTGGGCTGGAGGATAATAATTCATTTCGGAATAGACGTTAACGATTTTCTAAAAAACACCTACCGGTCCTCCTCCATTATATCCGTTCCCATTCCCATATCCTCTTCCAGCATACAACCCATAAGCAGTAGGATACCCAATAGCCAAATTATTATTGGGTTGAGGTGGTTGTTGCGGAGGTCCCCAGTTCCCTGAAGATCTTCCGAATTTAGGGATACCGTAAAATTTGTACTAGAAGAGCCCCTTTATTAAAAGGGCACATCTAATAGGAGGGCACTCTAAAAGGGGCATGGCAAAATAGAAGGGCCCCCTCTAATTGAAGGAACTCTGTAATAGAAGGGCCGACCCGTCTAATACAGGTTTACGGTAACACACTTTTTTTTCAGAAAACTCACAATTATTCCATTCCGCTCTGATCACCAACAAAGCACCGAGGAACAGCAGCAATCGAAATTTGATCATTTAGAAATTTAGAAAAAAAATTTCCATCAAATAAAATTTTTTGCCCATCCAATGTTTATTTACTCTTCGCGCATCCTATTCATCAATCTCATTAGTTCATTCATAAGATTGACAAACATTTTATGCTGACCGGATGCTCTTTTTGTTTGCCTCCTCCTTTTGAAAGGATCATAAATTTTGGTAGTAGGGGGGGGGGGGGGGGATTTTACTCAACAAACCAGTCATGACAAATCGGCTAGTTACTTAATACGAATGAAAAAAGTTTTAATATAGCTTTAATCGGATTTTCTTCGTAGTAAAATAAATGAAATTTCGATTGAGGCATCATCCAGTTGTTAGAGGAAGAGGAGTTAATAGTAAATAATAACCCGTAGTTGGATCAGCAAAACTAGTTATTACTTGGGAGAAGGGAGGATGATGCATCGGGATTTATACAACAACTATTCGGTTAGTTAGCCAATGATTTTTTTTTATTTTTTTGTGTGTTGCGTTATATAAAAAATGATTTTGTAAAATTTTTGTATATTTTTCCAATCTTTAGGTTACTCAAGAGAAGCTTGTTCGAACACTTACCGTAAAACCTGTCCTTCTATTTTAGAAGGGTCCTTCTATTTTTCCAAAGAACTTTCGGAGAGCCCTTCTATTACAGGGGCCCTTCAATTAGAGGGGGCCGTTCAATCTTATCGAAAAATAGAGTTTCAACTAATTTCTATCAAATTGTGGAGTTCCCGGAATATTTTCCACTGAAAAAGTACAGAAAATTTCTGATTTCATGTAGAATTTTGGAGGGGGACCTTTTTCACAGAGCGCCATTCTATTACAGGGGACACTTCTATGTTTCCAAGCCCCTCTCAGAGGGCCCTTCTATTAGAGGTGCCCTTCTGTTAAAGGCTCTCTTCTAATACAGGTTTTACGGTAATTCAATTTTTTATTTTCCGTTTCTCTGAGTTCAAAAGTAGTTCTTCGAATTTCAAAACTTCGAAACCTTCCAATGTTGACTTAAAGACCGAATAATGTTATTATAAGGTTCCGGATGGGTTGTTAGGAGGGTTTTGTTAGGGAAGTTTTTTTTGTGCCAAGGTCAGAGTCTGTGGACATCAGGCTTGAGCATTCTAATTTTTGTCTATTCCATATTTTAGAAGCTTCTTCATTTTCCTCCTTTTGTGATTCCCATATTTCTTCTAATCCAGAAAACATATGCTCCACTTCCCGAGGAAAACCAAATCTGTGTCATACACCTGCCCTTTTTCCATGAGTCAATTCTTTAGAGCCCTCTTAAGTGAAATCGCAGGTCAATTGACTTCCCCCTCCTCCCACTAATAGACCTTCTAGGTACACCTTGTAAATGACTTATAGGATTAGGAAGCCGTGGCTTCTGAAGAATCCAAAAACAAGACAATCAGAGAAGGAGTGAGTTCTCAAATTACACATCTCCTCCTCCCTACATAGTTTTCAAACAATAACACAGTGTGTCCTTAGGTGCCCTTTGAACATAAACAAGAGACACCGTCGCACAGTTTCCGGTACATGTGCGGATTAATCGGAAGGAAACTGGGAGGAGGAGGGAAGAATTGGTTAGAGAGGGCGGGTTATTTATGGGAGGAGAAGGCTGTTTTGGGTGAAGATGACTACGATTTTGGTTTCAACCCCCCCTCTCCCACTTCGGTCTAGTTTTGAAATTTTTGTCTTGTGTAAGAATGATTCCTAGATCCCTAAATTTTCAGATTCCTACATTCCTAGATTCATAGATTCTTAGATCCCTAGATCCCAAGATCCCTAGATCCCTGGATCCCTAGATCCCTAGATCTCTAGACCCCTAGATCCCTAGTTACCTAGATCCCTAAATTCCTAGATTCCATGATCCTAGATTCCTAAATTCCTACAATCCTGGATTCCTAGATTCCTAGACTTTTAGCTTCTTACTGTTAGAGTCATTTCTATCTGGGAACACATATTTTCCAGTTTTGGTAAATTGTGTTTCAATTCGGTTTGGTTTGAATCAGCTATAACCATTTTAAGGTTATTAAGATCCATTTTTTAAAACCTGTAATAGGAGAGCCCACTGTCAAATTTGAGCTCAAATTTCTCAGCTCCTATAAGAAATATCAAAAATAGGCCAACTGATAAAACCTTTGCGATATTTTGATAAACAGTTTATTCATATCTCGAATAAGAACCGAGAAAAATTGGTTCAAAGTCAGGAGGATGTTCTATTACAGGTTTCACCCTATCCCAAGTTTCTCTAAATTTCAACACCCAACGGAGAAGGTCAATCTTTCACCCGCTCAAAAAAAGATCCGAATAGAAAATCCATCTACGATTGTTATTAATGAGAGACCTTGCAATTACACCTTTGTCCGCTCACCCTCCTTGAAGGATGTCTCAATGACTCAATGTTTTTATTTCATCCATTGAAACCAATTGCGGGTTGAAGTGTGAGTTAGATATATGTATATCGTAGAAGGACAATTCTAATACTATTTTCATTTTGGAGATAGAGTTCTTCTCAATTTTGTAATTAGTCTTGGTCCAAGTCATAGCGGATAAGTCCTGATTTCCACAGGTTCCCAGATTTCTAGAATTCTAGTTTTCTAGGTTTCTTGGTTTCTAGAATTTATGATTCCTAGATTCCTAGGCTCCTAGATTCTAAGATTCCTAGATTTCTGAATTCCTAGATTTATAGATTTTTAGATTCCTAGATTCCTGCATTCCTAGATTCTTAGATTCCTGCATTCCTAGTACAACTTTGGTACCAGATACTGTCTGTTTTGGGTTATCCTCATAAACGGCTTCCAAAGAAATGTAACTTGAGAGCATGTTTCTGAGAAGTGCCTTACTGAAATTGTTCTAATGATTTTTCCAAACCAAACTTTTTTCGAATTGTCCCATTCCTCACTTCTTCACTTGAATCCCTTTAACTTTCCTTTTTCCTTTTTACAACTCCCGTCAGAAGCCGAGTGTATAGATGATGAAAACTCGAGAAAAGTGAATGAAAAGAACGGAAGTAGATGGAAAATTGGTGGACAATAGGATGACAGATTGAGAAGGGAGGAGTGAAGAAGAGCAGAGGGGGGACACCTCCTACTTTTTCTTCTTCTCCTTTCAATGATGATGTGTTAAGAAAGGAAGGGTATACAGATGGTTGAATGCCTCTGTACAATGGAATTTCGTAGGAATGGTGACTACACGAGTTCGTCAAGTGTCAAGAATTTTGGTTTTACGAAAGTTTTGAGTAGTTTTGGAGTTTCTTTGATTTTCAGAATAAGCTCAAAAATAGTAAAACTTGCATACTAGTTTTCTGAATACCGTAAAACCTGTAATAGAAGGGCACTGTCAAGTTTGAGCTGATTTATCTCGGTTCTTGTCAAAGATTTAAAAGAGTTGTCAACTGATAAATTGTTTATCGTGATATCAACAACATTCTATCAGTTTGCCCATTTTTCATATCTTGCATAAGAGGCAAGATAAATTAGTTCAAACTTGGGGGCCGTTCTATTACAGGTTTCACGGTATGCCCGGATGAGAGGATCATAAAATGTAGAGCACAGAATTCTGAAGCCGGAAATTCAAAATTCTGATTTACAGACGAAGATTCCGGAAACAAAAAAATCCTGAATCCAGTTCTCAGACTCCTAAAATACAAGGTTTGAGCTTTTCTGTTTCTCAATGACACAAATTCCATGAATTTTAGTTCCAGCTTTCTAAAATTTGCAATTTCTGAATTCCTAGATTTTTCCATTTCTAATTTGTTAGCTTTAACAAGTTTTAAGGACCTTCCGCTCAGTTTCCCCGCCTACTCCTAATTCCAATTCCTAGAGGTGTCATAACACTAACAAGATAAGCATCTGTCCTATTATTTCTGCTCTTTTCCCTCCCTCACTCATTTAGTATAAATCCACCCCTTCTTTTCGCGGCCCTATTTCATTTTCCTAATGCTCCCCACCCCCCTCTGGTATCCTATCCTATCTACGACGACACAGAAAAAGAGAGCCCATCACCGGAAATCCAGAATCCGAGACAGCCGGCTGCTACTAGGCCTAACCGATTTGTTTCCTGTTTTTGTGAGCTCATCCTTCCTTTCGTTTTGATGCCTCATTTTTTCTTGGAATCTCAGAAAAACGAGTTTTATGGCTTTTTTCTTTTGTTGGCTTTCGAGAGTCAGTTCAAAACCCAGATACGAATTTTATACTATTCATCAGCAAAATTTTACTAAAATGTTTTGTTTGACAAGAGGGCCTAAACATTCCAACACATGGTTTTCAATTTGGTTGCAGTTCCAAAGTTTAGATTACCGTAAAACCTGTAATAGAAGGGCCCCAACACTGTCAAGTTTGAGCTCATTTATCTGAATTAAGGCTTCCACTCGGTCGGGAAATTTAGCCGACCGACCGACCACCGACCGAGCCGACCGACAGCCGACCGAGCCGACCGAGCTGACCGATCGGACGGCACCTGACCAATCGGACGGTGCGCCGACCTTTTTCGTGCATATGCGCGTCAACGTGTTTGCATACGCAGCATTGTATTTTACGACAAACTTTTCATTAAGTGCCTCGTTTGTCGTAAAATGAAATGCTGCATACGCAAAAATTCGTAATTTGATGCGCAATTGCACAAAAACGGTCAGTTCGGTCGGCTGTCGGTCGGCTGGGTCGGTGGTCGGTCGGCGATTTTCGACCGACCGAAATAGAAGCCTTATGCCAAGTTGGAGCTCAATTATCTCAATTCCAACTTGGCGGTATGTGGGTCCTTCTATTACAGGTTTTTACGGCAGTCGAACTCCAGAATCATTTTTATAATCTAAAAAAGGTGCATTTTTATAATCTAAAAAAGGTGCATTTTTATAATCTAAAAAAGGTGCATTTTTATAATATAAAAAAGGTGTACAAAATCCAATTTGTCCTTCTCCTCCTCCTCTTCTTCTTGTTCATCCATCCACAATTTTTTCCTCGCCTTTTGCCTAAAAACTAAGTCCTAACACTTTGCTAAATAATTCACTACTATATAGTACTTTCGCTCGATTATCTTCTCCAATATATTACCAGTCTCAATTCGAATTATGACTTTTCGATTGAAAGAAGCCCTTCTGGAGAGACCCCACAAAAGTTGAAGACCGCCCGTAAAATTCTGAAGTGTTTTCTCTCTCGCTCCCAATTCAGAAGAAGAAGATCCTGTTTCTTGAAAAGTTCTTCCTCTCAACTTTTATGTGTGTCCCTCCCAACTTATGTATTCTATTCTGGATCTGTCTCGTCGAGAGAGATAGAAGCTAGAAAAGTGGGCGGAGCTTGTGGTTATGCAACTTTTTCGGGAGTTTTTGGGCCATCCCATTCCAGTCAAAGTCTAGATGGATGAAAAATGTTTCATAACTTTTTTTTGGATTTTTTTCGTTGAATTAAAATACTATAAAAACTCTAGTAACTTTGAGCACATATATCTCGACTCCTGTAAGAGATGTCAAAAAGAAATTAACTAACAAAAATTTAGGATATTATGATAAACATTTTATCAGTTGACCACTTTTTGCTATCTTTGACAGGAAACAAAATATATTGGCTCGAAGATGACGGTTTGAGGATTGAGGCATTCTATTAGATCGTTTACAGTAGGTCGATTTTAAGAACATAGGAATTTTTGGGCTTCAAATCCTTCAAATTGTTGTTCTCCAGGTCGTAATAGTCATATTACTGGAAATTTCAGCTTAAAAATGCTCGGGCACAAACTTCCAAGATTCGATTTGCCTGAAATCTTAAAGATCTGATTTTCGAGGCCACGAAAAGTAGTTCATGTACCTAACACCGTAAACACTCTAATAGAACGCCAACCTGACCGTCTAATTTGAGCCTATATATCTAACTTCTTTCGAAAGATTTCAAAAAGTTGTTAACTAGTAAAATGTTTATCATGATATTAGCAACATTTTATCAGTTAACCACTTTTTGATATCACTCATTGAAAATGATATAGATAGCCTCAAACTTGACGATTCGGGTGGCGTTCTATTAGAGTGCTTACGGTATCTGATTTTCTAACCACGAAAAGGTAAAATTTTACTTCTTGAGTTATGATTTTTTTTTGTATTTTTTAAATATTTCGATTTCCTATTCCTCGAATATTCCAAATGATGGCCTAACAATGAGCCTTGCTTCTCAGAACTTTCCACTTCATTTTCCTGAAATTCCCATCTTCTTCAAAAATCTCAAAAATCAGATTTCTTTTCAGACTCCCCCCACTAGAAGATACTACTGAAAATTCGAAATTTGATTCGTTTTTTTTCTTTTTTCATACTCTTTTCTCTTTTTTGTGACTTTTTCACAATGTAAACAACTTCTTCTCAAAACAGCTGCCCTTCTTGAATCGTGTGAAAAACGCGTTTTTGTGAGACTTTTGATTTGAAGAATTTAGAAATTTTTCTCTCTTTTTAAAATTTGTTTCCAGCTTTCGACTTCTCTCAATTTCCTTTTTTTCAGAAGCATGTATTCCACCTCTTTCCTATTCCTCTTTCTATTCATTCTCCTTCAATTGCCACGTGGCACGGAGACAATTGAATGCTATTCCGGTTCACAGTTACAAGTCATCAATTGTCCGTCAATGTCGTGTATTAAACAGACACTTGGTTTGGATACGGTAAGACAGACATACAAATTTTATGGGTTCAGAAGAGAGGGAGAAAAGAACCAAATGTTTTGACAACAGAAACCCCCTCACAAAGATTAGTCATGGTTCGCTGGCGTTTTGATGTTGCGCGTGGTATTGTGGTATGGCCAGAGGTAGATGGGACGGGACTGGGGTACCTTTAGCGCGTTTTTGAGCATTTTAGCTCATTTCTGAAAAAATATCTAGACAGACAGGTGTTCGGAATTCGCTTCGAAAATACTATTAAACCTGTAATAGAAGGGCACCCTAACTTTCAACCAAATTTGAGCAAATTTTGCATGATCCCTGTCAAAGATATGAAAATCTTGTCAACTAATAAAATGTTAGTCATAACATCAGAAGTGTTCTGTCAGTTGACGCATTTTCGATATCTTTTACAGAAACTGAAATAATTGAGCTCAAACTGGAGTATGTGGGGCCTTTCTATTACAGGTTTTCCTGTAAGATTCGAAACTTTTGAAAATCGAGATATCCTGAAAGATACTTTTTTCCGCCTTTCTAGTTTTCAAGGTCACATGGAAATTCTTTCTTTGAATATTCGTTTTCTAAGATTGTCATATTTTAGTCGCATAGTGTAAGACCCAGAAGTTCTAATAATTCTTATGGTCTGGGTTATCTACTGGAAAGTTACAAACTGCTGAAATCGCTGCTTCTTGTAGTTTTGCAAATCATACGGTTTCTGGGTGCTTTGGTTCATTTTAAGATTTTAACAAAGTTCTTAAGCTTTCAGAATTCTGAATTCTGGACTAGAAGGTTTAGAATATTGAATTCCTGTATACTGTAAAGCCTGTAATAGCAGGGCCCAGCACTTCTAGACTTGAGCCAATTTTTCTCGGTTCCTGTCTTGACACATTTTTAATACCTTGTATAGGAATTGAGATAATAAAGCTCAAACTTGACAGTGCGAGGGTCCTTCTATTACAGGTTTCAAAATTACCAGATCTCTTCGGCTTCATTATGAGCTTCATTTCCTAGATTTTCTAAATCCAAAGACTGTACCATTTCCCTAGCCAAACTTTTTCTCTGTCTTATAACTGTTGTCCTTGACTTCACACAACCCTCCAATTTCACAAAAGGAGGTAGATAATTGCCATTCCATCTCTCTCTCCCATTTTTTGTACTCCACCTTTTCGCGGAACGTTTCCTAATTATCGGTTATTCTCTCTTTTTCTTTTTCTAAAGTCCTTGGAATCCTTGTGTTTGAGTTAGGGAAGAAGTTTGGATATATGGGTGTGTGAAATTGTCACTTCATCAATCATTTTCCGAAACGGATTATTTTTCTTTGAGACTTTTGTCACATTTTCCCAAGGGGCAGGAAATCTGAAATTGAGTTGAACTCGGGTATAAAAATATAAATTTAGTGGAACGACTGTGAAATCCGGCGATTCAGGGATCGAAAACTGTAGAAATGAAAGCATATACCGTATTTCCTCTTATAGAATCCCACCCAAACTGTCAACTTTGAGCTCAATTATCTCGATTTCTGCGGAAGATATCAAATAGTGGTTAACTAATAAAATGTTTATCATAATATCACCAATATCCTATCAGTTAATAGATTTTTGATATCTCTCCCAGGAATCGAGATAATTGAGCTCAAAGTTGACGGTTTTGGAGCTTCTATTAGAGAAAGGGACCTGAAACTGGTCCAATAACGCAAAACTCTAAATCCATTTTTTTAAAAATTGTCTAATGTTTTCAGGTCCGCTATTGTGACGGCACCGGTGTCTCCTCGATTTGCCAAACCTATAGAATCGTGGAAACCTGTGACACCATCCCGAATCTCGGATACATTTGCTGTTGTGGAGGCGACTTGTGCAATTCCACATTTTCCAAATCTTCCGGTCTAATTCTAATTGTCTCATCGGTGTTTTTGTATTTGTTCTTTTGATTCGCTAGAGTTTTTTTGTCGCGTTACGGGTCCAAGTTTTCTGTATAAGAAGGATTTTTAGTGTCGTTGAAGTTCATAGTCATTTGTAAATGTTCTTTATAACATTTTTGCATTCGGGTTTTTTTGAAATAAAGTTTAAAGTCTAAGTTTTAAAGTTTAAATTTCAAGTCTAAGTTTCAACTTTGAGCCGATTTATCTCGGTTCGTGATAAAGATATTAAACATTTGTCAACTGATAAATTGTTTATCATAATATCTTATACATTTTATCAGTTGACACAGTTTTGATATCTCTTATAGGAGCTGAGATAATTGAGCAAATGTGGGGTCCCTTCTATAACAGGTTTTACGGTATTACTAAATTTCGATTTGAAATAATGTATTTTGATATTAATATGGTAAATCAGCAATCTGAAAATTACAATTTAAACAAAAAAGGTTGAAACTACTACCACATTTTAAGAAATTGCTAAGTTTTTCTTGACTAATTGAGAACTAATAATACCGTAGTTCCTCTGATAGAAGCTCACTCAACGTTGAGCTCAATTATCTCGATATCTGTAAAAGATACGAAAAAGTCATCAACTGATAAAATGTTGGGGATATTCTGATAAACATTTTATCAGTTAACAAAATTTCGATATCTTTTACAAAAACCAAGATAATTGAGCTTAAAGTTGAGTGGGCTTCTGTTAGAGGTAACTCTGAAAACAATTGTAACCCCTCCGGATCAAAAACCACAATTTTTACAAATGCTTTTTGAACGCGAAGTTTGTTTCGGTCATCAAAACTTTCCACTACTAACATCACGGTGCATATTACGGATAATCCGCCAAAAAAGGGGCGGAGCTCTGTTCTTGATGTATGAAACATCTCTGAAAACGGTATATAAATTATCAAACCAATTTTTTTCCTCTGCATCCAGGAAAGTTCCAAAATGAGATCCCATTTGACAATTGCTACCGTATCATTGCTCATCTCAGTCGTCATTTGCACTGATAATCGTGCTGCCATGGCAACTAAATGTGTTAACACTTTGGGTATCACATTTTACACAGCCGCTCAGCTCAACACCATTTTTGCATGCGCTGACCCACAGGTTTATGCCACGCCCACGAACACAACGGCAATGATTTCAGGTTATGAGTATTTGAATTTTTGAAAAATTATAAATGTTTCAGTTGCCAAGGACTGTATCATCAACAACTCGGGATCCAAAGCTATCGCTGCTCTATCTTTATACGCTAATATCAACAGTTGTCTCAGCCCAGATGATATTCTTACCTTGGCCACAGAATGGGCAACCCCGCTAACAAAACTAACAAAGACTTTGACGAATAAGGTTAGAGATCTGAGAATTTGAGAAGAAAACGAACTTCAAAAATTTCAGTGCCTCAAAAAAATCAAGACTTGCAAGGCAGCTGGTACCGCTCAAGAAGCGTGCCTTCAGAAGTTGTACACCCTGGCGAAGGCCGCCATCACCAAAGTTTATGTGGATAAGATTTGCAAGAAATTCGTGAAGCAGGTGGGCTGAATTGGTACATTGGATTCTAGAAATATCGAAATTTGAAATTTCAGCGAGTCACAGTTAGCAAGCTTTTCAGTTTTCTATACCATAAAACCTGTAATTGGAGGGTCCTCTGGCTTTTAACTTTAAGTAAGGCCGTACGAAACGCGGCCGCGGCCGGCCGCGGCCGAGACCGTGAGTAGGTTGCCGTGGACCAATCTGACCGTCCATTCGAAAATAAGCTCAGGTACCCAGAAACTACTAGGGTCACTAGGCCGCCGTACCCTACCTTTCTCAGAATGCCGCGGCTGTCCGTGGCACAGCCTTGACTTTAAGCAAATTTTACTCGAATCCCAAGTTATAAAAAAGTGGACAGATAAAATGTTAACCTTAATCCCACAAACAATTTATTAGTTGACACATTTTGGATAGCTTGCACAGGAATTGAGGTAATTGAGCTCGAACTTGACAGTATGGGGGCTCTTCAATTTCAGGTTTTACGGGATAACTTTTCAGTATTCCCAGTACAATATTCTTGAAATTAACATCCTTCAAATCTTCAAATCTTACAACAAATAATAATCTCAATTTTCTCCAGAACCTATCAAAAGCCCAATACGCTTGTGGTGTCAAGTATGCTCCTCAAGTCATGGACATCACCGGATACAAGTGTGCAACACTCACAATTTCTTGATTTTAAATTTCTCTGGAATTTGGTTAGAACCCAAAATGCCTTTTTATAAAAAAATTTTATACAAAAGATTTTCAGTAAAACATGCCAAGAGAAAAAAGTATGGTATCGAGGAAGAAAACGCTAGAAGACAATTAAAAAAGATTGATCAATGAGATTTGGCACCCATAGAATATCACATATTCAGCGATAGAAAAATGAATGATAAAATTGGAATAAAAATCTTCTATAGTCCATAAAAAAGGAGAACAATCGGAAAGACGATGATGATGACGTACTTCTGAAGGCGGGAAGAGTTACACCAGTCTGTGTTGCAACAGCAAACGTCTCCAAGATCTCCGGCGTTGAAGCACATCTGGACGGGAGCACGACGAGAGCTTCGGGAAGTGGATCCGGACATTTTGGAGATAGGGGCGGCTGGAAAAGCTGGGGTTTGGGGTAGAGAAAGATCTAGGATCTTCAGAAGTCGTGGTATTATTCTAGGAGAATCGACTGAATAATTTCTTGGATCTCATATAATTGGAAAAGATTGATTTTCAAAATTCGTTGTCTTCAAGAAAGCACATGCACTTTGAGCTAAATTATTTCGGTTCCTATAAGAAATATCAAAAATCTGTTAACTGATAAAATATTGGTGATTATATGATAAACATTTTATCAGTTGACAAATTTTTGCTATCTTGCATAGGGTCCGAGATAAATGAGCTCAAAGTGAACGTTTTGTGTGGGCATATATTTGATCGTTATTCTTTAGAAAACGTAGGTGTCAAAAAATTGCTTTAAAAAATTTCATAAAAAGTTCACAAACCTTGAGACGCTGCTCCACCGAGCAAAACCGGGAAATTCGAGTAGTCCGTCGTGATGGTCCTTGGAATTCCGTGCATGGCGTACTGCGAGCAGAGTGAGATTTGAGATATTGAGTTCCCTGGAATTCGAAGTTTTGGCGGGGATTTGAAAAAAATCAAAGCTTACCATCACAAGATCTTTGCACTGGACCATTTTTCGATGTGATTGAAACGCAGTAGGATTGGGATGTGCATTGAGTGGCGAATTGGGAGTGTCCTGAAAACTTTGAGACTTTAGAAAAATGTATAACTCTTTTGAATTCTAAGGTTATCAGTAAGTTCTTTATTTAATTGACTCAGAACTTTGAAATAACCTGTAATAGAAGAGCCCCTAACTTTTAACTTTGAGCCAATTTATCTCGATTCCAGTCAAAGATACATAAAATTTGTCGACAGATAAAATGTTTATCATAATATCACAAACATTTTATCAGCTGACACGTTTTTGATATCTTGCATAGCAATCTAAATAATTGATTTCGAACAGTGAGGTAACTAACCAAAGTTTTTTACTAGAACCAACCTGAAAAACATTTCAGTAAGCACTGAACCGGTGAAATTGTGTAAAAGATTGAGAAGATGATACTATAGCTGAGCCTCATTCTGAAAATATTCGTTTTTAAAACTTCAATCTGAAATTCCAGCGAACCAAAATATATTCAAGTTGTTTTTTGATTCTAAAAGTCAAAGAGACATAGAGAAGAAAAATTATTAAAAATTCTGAAATATCTCTGTGGGAGAAATTGAGAAAGGGAACGAAAGACAACATTTTTCGAAAAAAAAACTAATGGATATGGAGAAACCGAGGGTAAGAGAAAGGGAAAAAGAAGCGTAGAGAATGTGAATAGAGATATGGAAATGAGATCTTTCCTGGAATAGGAAAGTAGGAGGACCTATAGGTCGTGCACTTTAGTTACTGAGTTAGTAGTACTGACCTCTTTATTTTTGTTTTTGGTATTTAAATCAGTTTGAACCGACTTATGGGCTATTCTAAATTCTTCGTCTATAATTTTTGAACCTCTAAGTTTGGCCCGTTTTTGTCCAAATTGTGCAGTCCGAAGACGTACAGTGTCCCCTTTTCAAAAAGTGGTACGCTTAGCAACCACCTAACCGCTCAAAAAAAAAAGAGACGCACCCTAAAAGTTATGTCACAAAAAGTCTATGTCAACAGATATGGATACACCTGCAGCTCTCTCTCCCTCTCTCTGAGTGTCACTTTGAATAAACCGCCCCGCGTACCTATTTTATGATCTCCACCCGTCCCGTTTTATGTGCATATCCGGAGGTGCTCCCTCGGTTTAGTCGCATAAACTTAATTTTGCCCGAGACGAGCTCAGTCTACATTTTTTGTTTCGGGAAAAAAGGAGCAAGGAGTAAGCATGTAAATTTTGTTATGAAATTGAGTTTGAGAGGAAACAGGAGGTGGAAAAGATCAGATATATTTTATTATGTCATTAATAGAAAACGGATGGTGGGATGATTACTTTATCTGGTTCATGGCACTTACCAACCAGACTCAATTATCTAGGTCAAAGGGGAAATTAAAAGTCGAGTTTCTTTCTGGAAGGAATTTAAAATTAGAAATCTTTATCATTAAAAATCACTAATTTATGTGTGTGTGTGTGTGTCCGTTTGTTCCCGGTTAGCGGACCCTAGCACAGTCCCCACTAGACCAAAAATTTTCATAATTTCACAGAAAATCCGAAATAGCAGCGAGATGATGCCCGGCTAATTTGATTTTGATAATATAAACAATTGAGGTCATGAGAATACAAAAACCTATTTTTTGGGAACATTTTGGTTATCTCTGTTCTCAAAGCTAGGTTGACAAGTTTAGGGGAAAATTCACGCCGCCTGTAGACGTCAATAATCTTCTGGTTTTAGAATAATTATTAAAAAATCGGGATATAAAGTCAGAAACATCCTCATAGAAATCTCTCATATGTACCAGCTACAACTTCCCCAAGTGGGCGGAGCCTTATCACCTTCTCACCACATTCCTATATGACGACAGACCCCAAAAGGCGGATATCCAAACATTGCGCAACAGGACCAAACGGTCCTAAGGACCATGTTTGCACAACCAATTATATTACTGTGTATGGTTTGGGTTTTCCAAGGGGGGTCCTTTTTTTAGGGGGGACGCATGAGAGCCGACCGGGGAAAGCTATGAGAGGGTGAGGAGGAGGAGGAACAGGTGGTTTTGGACGAAAAGTTGCTAAACAGCGGAAAGAAGTCAAAGAGGAGATGGTTCACAGGTAAGAGGGACAATGACGGCGGTCTTAAAGGTCTTGACTGAAGTTTTACCCAAAAAGTGCTCACTGGGACAGCATATCCCAGCATCCACTGACGATCTATTTTTGGATAGATGTAAAATTTAATCTATCTTAAATCAAAGTTGTGTCCCCTCAGAATACATCTTTTAAGAAAACATGCCTCCTCTCACCCTAATGGACCCACCTTCATTCCAGACCATGCCATGTTGAATGGGGTGATAAAGTAGGTATGAGATACGAGCTCTTTTGATCTCCCGCCGACAAACGCGGGAAAAAATCATATGGATCCTATGTAACCTAGATTTATGAGGAGCTAGATCACATGGAACCATGGCTTACAGCTAGAAACTCTCTGACGAAAGCGAAAAATGAAACACAGAAAAATAATGAGGAGGAGGAGAAAAAGTCAGTATCCAACGAACCGGGATGAAACAAGAAAAGAAGCGAAGCGGAAAGTTGAAGGCTAGTGAGGTAAAAAGTTTTAATTAATGAGGGGAAGAAGAATAAATGGGAGCAGGAGAAGGAGCATGAAGACGTTAGAAGTCAGATGGGTTGATAATGGGAGAGGAAATGGGGAAGCTAAAATAATGAGGGGTAGGACTATAATGGAGAGAAAGTTGGGAGGAAGTTAAAAGACTTCAATTGAACTAGGTAATGCATCAAAATCTAGATATCTAGATGTTTTGAACCCTCATAAGGAGTTGAACTCACGGAGAACAGATTATGGGTGCAGTGCCTCTACCGGCTGAGCTAAGCGGGCGCGAAGCAGGCTGCCGATCTATAGGCTTCGTGGTCTCGGTGCGTTTTTGTACCCCAAACTATCTCCCAACTTTTTGCTGTCTCACATCTTTTAAAGTTGTTATTTATGTGCATTGGTATGTCCGGATGTCCCATTTTTTAGTCTGGGTTTAAAAAAGTCAATCGCGCCGAAGGCGCACCAGCCAGCTGTTTGAAGCGCCAGAGGCGCAGCAAACAGGCTGGTTATTTATAATGCTCTGAAAAGCTTGAAAGTTAGCAAATCGCAATCAAGCGATTGCCTCTAAAAGGCTCAAAAAAAGAAACAAAAGTATTTCTCATCTACACACCACCAACATCATGAGGCACATGCCACAGAAGGAAAAAGTTAATTTCGTTTGAATGTGGAATTGGAAAATATAATAGACACACATATACATAGCTACTTGGCAGCAGAACCACATAGTGCTTAACACAATTAAATGTGAAAAGGGTGAGGAGGAGCAAAAGTTGGCGAATGGAAATAATTGGAAAATTGCTATGGGAGAAAAAACTTAATGATTGGTCAAAAGTATAAGGTTGTGGGTTAAATGGAAGAAACATTTTTGAAGAGATCCAACGTCACTTAATTGCTCCCTTACAAGCCTAACGTATTTTTTGACTTTGAGTTAAATTATCTCAGTGCCTATGAAAGATATCAAATTATTGTCAACTGATAAATTGTTTCTCATAATTTTATCAACATTTTATCAGTTAACAAATTTTTGATATCTCTCATAGGAACCGAGATATATAGACAAAGTCCAGATATAGGGTTTTTATTCGAGCTTTTTGGTTAGTAACGTGTCTATTAAACGTATACTTAGAACATTAACACTTATGACTCAAATCTGGAAACCTAGAAACTCGAAAAATGAACTTAAAAGCAGTTTTACTAGCCCTAGACCAATTTTTTGCATTATTTCATTCCTATGTAGACTTGCATTCTATTTTTTTCAAAAAAAAGTTTAGTGTATCATCTCATGGGCGTGGTGAGTGGTTATGACATACACCTCTCCTCCGTAGAAAATAAATGTCGTTTTTTCTCCTGAATCACTGCTCTTCTTCTTCTTCTTCTTCTTCTTCTTCTTCTTCTTCTTCTTCTTCGTTTTCCACATTCAATTGGCTCATTAGACAGAATGGAATGGTGTAGAGCGGGAAAAACGGGGGTTAGAAGAAAACGGGGGCAGAATGGGGGAGGTAGAAGTTAGGACATTTTTTGGACTTCAAAAAGAATTCAAAGAAAATTTTGGGTCACTTCGAAACCGCGGCACTTTGAAACCAGTCACTTCGAAACCAGTCATTTCGAGAACAGTGAGTTCGAAACAAGTCACTTCGAAACCAGTCATTTCGAGAACAGTGAGTTCGAAACAAGTCACTTCGAAACCAGTCATTTCGAGACCAGTGAGTTCGGAACCAGTCACTTCGAAACCAGTCACTTTGAAACCGCGACACTTCGAAACCAGTCACTTCGGAACCGCGACACTTCGAAACCAGTCACTTCGAAACCGCGACACTTCGAAACCAGTCACTTCGAAACCAATCACTTCGAAATCGGTAATATCGAAATCGGTAATTTCGAAACCAAAAAAAAAACACGGTCACTTAAAAATGAAATTGAAAATTGGAAAAAAAAGACTAAAAATTGAAAAAAAATTTCGCAGCTTCGAAACGACCGGTTTCTAAGTGTCGCGGTTTCGAAATGACTTTATTTCGAAACGACCGGTTTTGAAGTGTCGCGGTTTCGAAATGACTGGTTTCGAAATGACTGGTTTCGAAATAACTGGTTTCGAAATGTCGCGGTTTCGAAACGATGCGGAGGCAAAATTTTGTTTCCGAAAAATTCCAGTTTCCGAGAGTATCCAAGAAAAAAAAAGCAATTTCAAACCTTGAAGGGGTTGAGAGTGTGAAAGAGTAAATAAACAAACACCCCCAATCCCAAAACAGGAGAACTCGAAATTATTTTTTCCTGCTCCTGAAAATTTCTCTCTCCTCTCTCGATGTCTATTTTTTTGGGACTAGTACTGAAAAAAAAGCAAACTGAAATCGAAAAAAAAGTGAAATGAAGTATATATGTCATGCAGGTGTGTTTTTTTCCAGCCGCATATAATATAATCTGAGGTCGAAAGTGAGAAAAAAGGAGAGAACGAAAAATTCTTTTGTTCAAACGAAATTCCATCTTATTTTTGTAGTGAGAATTATTCTAAAAATATTCGTCTTATCAGACAATATACGATTCTTTGAAAAATAGGAGAGAAATGGGAAATTGGATGTGTAGATAGATAGATTCATGTGTTTTCTATCCAAATGGTCATGTGGTTCCGGACTGTTAATTCTTGGTAAATACAGAAGCGATAAAAGAGAGAGAGAGAGAGAGAGAGAGAAAATCAAAATTTTCAAACTATAGAAAAAGTGGGAAGCTCAGAGAGCCCATCTTATATACAGTATGGGTCAACAAGACATTCGAAAAACGTAATATTTTCCAGTGATTTTCAGTCATTTTCAGGAGTCTGGAGCTCGACTTTCAAGGTTCCCAATCACTTTGAAATCTTTGAAGGGTATAAAACAGACCTAGACTGAAACTTTGCATTCACAGAACTTTTCGAAAATTCCTAGTTTTTCAGTTATTGTAAAACCTGTATTAGAAGGGCCCCTTTAACTGGAGGGAAGAAGGGTACCTTGGAACAACAGAATGGCAGGCCCTTCTCATACAGGGTTTACGGTATTTGCCGATTTCTAAAAAACACCTGTTTTTTTAGTTTTCCATACCAAAAGGCGCCAAAAAGGGTGTCTTTCAGAAATCTGCAAACAAAGAATTTTCGAAAAATTCTGTGAATGCAAAGTTTTCAATCTATGTCTGTTTTACACCCTCCAAAAGTTTTTGAGCGACCGGTAACTTGACAGTCGAGCTCCAGAAGTAGAAACCAAGAAACTTGAATCTCTCTAGAAATAAAACTTTCAAGTGTGCCGAACACACAGTACAAGTACCAAGAACACAACCAATCATCGGGAATGTACGATGCCACGTGTGATGATAAGATAAGATATCACTGAGCTAATAAAGGCAACATCCGTCTGTTGGCACGTGTTTGTACATGTAGTCAGGTTCCTGTTATTCGGAGATAATTGGAAAAAATGGGTCAGGCATTTGTAGTTTACGAATATGGAATTTTTGAAATATAGGAACTCAAGAATCTCAAAATCTAAGAATCCTACAATCTTAGAAACCCAGCTAAACGTCTTCTTCTTATTCGTTTTCTCTGTTCCTCCTCGTCTCTTGTTCTAATTAACATATCCTTTAGTTTTCTAGCTCCACCGATCGGAAATAAATTTATTCGAAAACAACACAGCAAGCGAAAATAAATTATTCTGATATTCACACAGAAAAAGCAAAAAGAAGTATAGAAAAAAAAAGAAAAGAAAGAACAATAAAGATGCACTTTTAACAGGAAATTTCATTTTGGAAGCGTTGAAGAGTCTAGGAGCCTTTGAACCTTGCAATGTAAAATTTTAGAATTCCCAAAAAATCTTGGAGTCTTTTTGGCAACGAAAATAATTAGGTTGTTTAGCTGCAAGAATGAAAAAATATGAATGGAGGAAATGGAAATTCAAAAGCCTCCCATTTTTCTATTGTGTCGAAAAAATTCACTTCTTCTGTTGGTGGTGTGTTTTCTTTCTTCTAAAAATGGGTATGTGAGGATTTCGCGTTTTTTTTTCGTGGAAAAATAGATAATCCCTTGGTTGAAAAATGAAGAATTGGTGAAAATAGAAAAGAAAGCAATGAAGAAGGTAACAAATAGAACCAATATACCGTAACCACTCTATTAGAAGACCACCCACCCCCGCAAACTTGAGCTCATATATCACGGTTTCTGTGAAATATATCAAAACGCAGTCAACTTTAAAAAATTTTTCAGATATTATGATTAACATTTTATCAGTTGACACATTTTCGATATCTTTCAGAGCAACCGAGATAATTAAGCTCAAACATGGCAGTGTGGGGGCCATACTTCCTGAATTCCGGCTCGGGTTAAAAATGATACGTTTTTCTGTGGATCTTGGATACATTTTTGTCAAAAAGATTATTTTGAAGTTTTGGAGAAATTCAAACCAGGTTTTTACTTAGAGCTGAAAACCAAGAAATTTTGATAAAATATTCACAAAAATCCAAACGTCTTTCAAAAAATTGCTGGACGGGCCCGCGACATGTATGGTGAGCCCTTCTATTAGAGGCTTTACTGTACTCGAAAACTCTATGAAGCTGAAAATCGAGAAATTTAGGAGCCTAGGCATCTAGGGATCTTCAGAAATTGAATTATTGCAACGGCGATGCATGTAAAACTATGTGGACCCACGAAACACAAAGTTCCACATTGTGCAGGTGGGATCTTTGCAATTATCATTAGTCGAGCAATTTAAAAAATATGAAATTCCAAAATTTCCTGTCTATTCTTTTGTTTCTTTGGAATTCAAAATCCAGCTCATCTTCTTGTGCCTCTGTAGTGGTGTATGGTCATCTGACTGGCAATGGACAGCCGTATGTAGGAGAGCAGGTTCAGTTATGGGAGCCAAAGACTTGTGAGTTTGGAAATTTGAAAAAATGTTCACTGATTTCCAAATTTCTAGTGGGCGACGAGTTATGGTATGACATCAATACTGGCAAGGACGGAAAGTTCCGAATGTTCACCAACGGAAATGATTTTGTAAGAAATTCCTTTAATCAACTTCTTGTTTATCTTATCCAGACCCTTCTCAACATCCCTTCGGCTTTGGATTCCAACCGTACCTTTGGATCCCAAATTACTGTGGAAGCGAATTAAAAGATGGGAAGAGATGTACTAAGAATATTTTGAAAATCGATATTCCGCAGGGATACATTAGCCCTTGTCAACCAGATGTTCCAGTGAGAATTTATAGATAAATTAGGCTACAGAAAGTCTATATTTTCAGGTTTTCGACTTGGGAACCGTGAACATGGAGAGCGCAGAACCAGCTAGATTCAATTGGGTTTTGAGACTTATTGGGCAACATTATCAGTGTCGAAAGTATTGACCTACTATTAATAAAATATTTATTCTGTATTCTTGTAAATTTTTGTCTTTGGACAACCTAGAAAAACGTGGTTTCCATGTTTCGCCGAAAAATGTTTCCATCCACCTGTCCTAATCCCAACTCTTCAAATCAATATAGTCAATTTTACACAGTCTCTCTATCTGAAAAATGAAACTCTTTCTGGCAATCTTTTTGGTCCCGGTTTCAGTCGCCTGGCATGGAACCGTTCATGTCACTGGACAACTCAAATGTAATGGAAAACCGTATGCAGATGATTTGGTGCAAGTTTGGGAGCATAAGTTTAGTAAGTTTTTTTTAGATCATTAGGTTTTTTTTTCATTTTCAATTCCAGTTGGCCACGAAGTTTGGTATGAGGGTTGGACCGATCACAACGGGAACTTCTCCATTGAAGCTTCTGGACATGAACATGTAATATTTAACTTACCGTAAAACCTGTATTAGAAGGGCCGACCCTTCTATTTTTCCGAGATATCTCCGGAGGGCTCTTCTTTTACAGGGGCCCTTCTATTTTTCCCGCCACCGTTCCCAAGATTTTTCACCGGAAAATTAAACGAATTTTTGTTCAAAATTCATGAAAATCTGTCAATTTCATTTAAATTAATTTTAGAAATCCCGGAATATTCTACACTGAAAATGTACGGAAATTTTTAATTTCATGTAGAATTTTGGAGGGAGACCTTTTTCACAGAGCGCCATTCTATTCCAGGGGACACTTCTATGTTTCCAAGCCCTTCTCGGAGGGCCCTTCTATTAGAGGAACCCTTCTATTAAAGAGGCCCTTCTAATAAAGAGACCCTTCTAATACAGGTTATACGGGGATTAATTCAATAACCCCCTATGAATTTTCCAGGGCTTTGGATTTGCTGTCTACCCATACATCTGGATTCCAAACTACTGTAACACTCAAATAGAGCACAGAAAGCCGCGATGCACGAAGAATTTGGTGCAGATTTATATTCCGAAAGAATTCATCAGTTATGCAAACCATCCAAGGGTACCGTAGTCTCTTTTTCTGTGAGAGTAGATCAAATAATTCCAGGTCTTCAATATCGGGACGATTGATTTGGAAAAGGCGGAGGGAAAGAATTTCAAGAGTATTGAACAGTTTTTCGGTTACCATCAAGAGTGTAGAAGTTATTGAATAAAGTTAATTTTTTATAGATTTTTTTAAACTGATGTTGAGTTCAAGGAAACAAAAAAAACATGTCTGAAGATTGAATCATTTTGTCTAAAAATACTTCATGGTCTAGTAAACCTGGTCCAACCATAATTATAGTTTGGTTGTCTGAAAATTCAGACAGAAACATCTCATAGAGGAAATGAGTACCTAGAACGTCAAAAGTCAGATATAGAAATTTTTGCGAAAGTTTGCAAAATGGGCTTCGAACCAAAGTTTGCAAAATGGGCTTCGAACAGTTTGCAAAATGGGCTTCGAACCCGCGACACTTCGAAACCGGTCATTTCGAAACCAGAAATTTCGAATCCAGCCCGTTCGAAACCGGTCCGTTTGAAACCAGACACTTCGAAACCAGTCATTTCGAAATCAGTGCTTTTGAAACCAGACAGTTTGAAACCGCGATACTTTGGAACCAGTCACTTCAAAACCGGTCATTTCGAAACCGAAAAAAAAACACTGTCAATTAAAATAAAATTGAAATTGAAAATTTGCAAACGTTGAAAAAGATTGCAGATAGCAAATTTAGCCATTTCGAAACGACCGGTTTTGAAGCGTCGCGGTTTCAAAAAGGCGGGTTTCGAAATGACTGGTTTCTACATGTCGCGGTTTCGAAACGACTGGTTTCGAAACGACAGGTTTCGCAAAGACCGGTTTCGAAGTGTCGCGGTTTCAAAATGACTGGTTTTGAAGTGTCGCGGTTTCGAAGTGACGCGGAGCCAGATTTTTGCGAAAGTTTGCAAAATGTGCACTTTTTATTCTACTACACAAACAATTTCAGCTGACAAATGAAAAAAAAAAACATTCCTAATCTTCTAACGTATAACACATCAGGTGCTTTCCCATTAAACCAAAAACTTTATCCTTAATCTGTACATCCATCATAATCTCTTCCACCTTTTTTGCTCCTACCGATTCCTATTTTTTTCATTCTTGCCTTATTTTTCAAGCGACTCCAATCCAACCATTTTTTAGCTCTAGATCTGCCCTTTTCCTGAAAGTGCATTCTTAATTTTTTTTTGCACAGAAGACAGAAGAGAACGTGTTCTCCGTCACATCGAACTGATTCTAAGAATCGCACGTCCAACGACTATAATTTCGACCTTGCATGGTGTGTTCTGACCTACACCTCTTGCCTGGTCCCGCCCATTTTTCGTTCGAATTTTGAGAGCTTGTCTCATTCTGACATTTTGATTTCAGTTTCAGTTTTCTTGGTTCTGAAAGGACATCATGCGATTCTTCACCCTATTCATCGGCGCTTTCATCGTCTACACGCTCTTCGCGTATCCGGGAATCAAGTCCAATAGATATGGTGAGTGATAAGGGGGTACTCAAGCTAAAGGTATGGGTGGTCTAGGACTAGATGGTAGGAATAATCAACAGGCCACCTAGCGGGGTCCAGAAAACAATAGAGAAGGTTAGACTCCAACAGGAGCTAGAAATAAGGCATCACAGAAAGAATATAAGAAATTCTTAGTGATAAGATACTGTAAGATGGCTTATTAGCTAGGTCAGGTCCCTTGCTATACAGTTAGAGTAAGCTGACGTGATGCAATCAGACCAAGGCTGTGCCAGGGCATGTTGAAAAGAGTATTTCTGACTTGAGATATGTAGGGTTTGGCGGCTTAGCGGCCCTAGTAGTTTTTGAGCTTATTTTCGAAAGGACGGCCGGATGGGTCCACGGCAACCTACCGACAGCTTCGGCCTCGTTTTGCGCAGCCTTAAATCTGACCTTTCTTCCAAAAATGAGCTCACCAAGCTTAAGGGAATCTTGGAGACCCTATCCTATCTCTCCATGAAACAACGTAATCTCAAACACATGCAAGATCGAGACGGATTATTTTGAAAATGCCACCATGCCGGGATTAGAAAAAATGCAGAGTCACAGGTTAATCTCATATGTATATCCCATGTAGAGTAAACTTTATGCTGTACAGGGGTGTACAAAGTGATTCAGAGGTACAAAATCCACAATCGGGGTTCGGAACTCAATCGGGGTTCGGGGTTCGAAACTGAAAATTTTCCAGGTTTGTCGTACCCCTAAACCGCTTTGTAGACCCCAAAATGTTTGTACCCGCCGAAATACCATAAACACTCAAGAAAAGTGACACCCGAACTGTCAACTTTGAGCCCATATATCTCATTCCCTATAAAATATATCAAAAAAGGGTCAACTGATAAAATGTTTATCATAATATCAAAAATATTTTGTCAGTTGACTGCTTTTTGATATCTTTTACAGGGAATGAACTATATGGGATTAAAGTTGATGATTTGGGTGGCAAGCAAAAAAAATTCGGGCGGAAACGAAAACGCAAAAACGGTCGGTCCACTGGGAGGTCCACTGGAACTTCTACAACATTCAAAACATTCTAAAATCAAGATCTGAACTTTCCAGACGACTACGACGACCGGGAAGGTGTCGCCATTGACTTCGTTCTCGAGACCGTCAATGTGACCGAGGACGAGAACGGAAAAATCGTCTTCCGCCATCGCCGTTATATTATCTCGGGCCTCCACTATGCCTAAAATTTTTTTTGTGTTACTCCTCCCCCCGATCGTCTTTCCATATACTTCATTTTTATGCGAAACTAATCTGATTACATAAAACTGATTTTGTTAACTTTTTATGAATCTTCAATCCGTTACATCTGGTGTTCAAAAAATCAAAAACCACAGCGGCTACCGTTGTCTCAGATATTTATTTCTGATTCCATAAGAGTGCCACCAGATACAATCCGCATCAGGAAATAAACCAGAAAACACACACCGTCACGAGTCTGCTGATAACAAATTCCTTGCACTTTCAGGATTCTTGAAGAAAATATGATTCTTCTGACACTACAAAAAACGTATTTTTTAGGAATTTTCAGTGAGATAAGTTTGGTCGTTCTGGAAAACATTTTCAAATGGTCCGGGATGTTCGTGATTGGGTTCTTCTGGATCAAAACAATTCGCTCATTCCTACTAGGTGGAAACCCCTCCTGGTTCTCCGATAGGTCCTGGAGTGTTGTTATTAGTGCCATCCTCGCCTGGTTGTCCCTCGGTTTCAGGTTTTCCAGGTGGTCCCTTTGGTCCCTTCGTGTTCAACAAAACCACGCCATCCTGCCCAACCGTTCCAGCAGCGCCTCTTGATCCCATTGCTCCTTGTTTTCCAGGACTACCGTATCCTCCAGGGGCTCCTGGCATTCTTCACATAGGTCCAGGGATTCCTGGAGCTCCAACAAGTCCGGGTTTTCCAGTTGGTCCGGGTTGACCTGGCTTCCCATCTGGCCCAGGTGGACAGGTAGAACAAAACTGTGGGAAGCTTGGGGCCAACTTATCCATCGCGTCGGCTTCTCTCCATTTCGTTATTTTCCCATGGTATCATTCCGCTTTTTTTAATCATTCCCCATTTTTCCCATTTCCCGTTTTATCATTCCCTTTTTTATACTTCCCCATTTCGCATTGTCCCCATTTTATCCCTTCAAAAAGAACGGGAACACAAGAACAATGTGATGTTATTTTTTCTAAAAATCTGCTGAAATTCAAATGAAAAACACGTGGGACAGGGGATTTTTTTTTACCGTGACGGTGTACAACGCTTAATGTCACTCTGCGTACAGCTGTCGTCCTCGCCTTTATGTATGCAAGCGGGAGGCCGCTTTTTCTTTGCACGCGTGGCTCAGTCGGTAGCGGCGCCGCACCCTCAATCCTCGCCCCCACAAGTGATTTATTTATTTCTCTAACTCTTTTCTTTTTTCTAACTTTTTCTGATTCGATCTCTCTCATCTCCTTATCCTCCCTTTCTCATTTTTTCTCTCTTTTTTCCTTTTTTCTTTCTTTCCTTTTCTCATATTATCTGTACTTTTTAGACGGCTTCATGCCATCTTGGATGTATTTCCTTGAGAATATGACCCTGGAAAGTACATTTAGAGATCTTGAGAATTAGAGAGTCTGGGAGATTGATAAGTACTCCTTACTTTCCTTAATCTTTTCTTTCTCTTTTTTCTCTCTTTTTTCCTTTTTCTCTTCTACCTTTCCACAAATTCAAAAACGGAAACACTCAAATCATGGATCCCGGAGCACAAAAATCAATGTTCAAGAAGAGAAAACTAAAAAATGATGATGAAATGGTGAGTTAATGAATTTTGCCTTAAACAATCTACTTCTTACTAAGGAAGCTTTTCTGTGTGTGTGTGTCTGTGTGTCCGTCTCGGACATTAACTTGAATAACTCAAAGGCGCGTGGGACTCCTATAGTGGTGTGTGGTATGTATAGGGATGCTATAGTGTTGAGAATCGAAAATTTCAAAACTATGCTCAAACTCAATTAAACTTCACGAAATTATGAAAAACGGTTTTTTGGCCTATCTATGTGTTGCCTGCATAAAATTGATCACAAATCTTCAGAACTGAAAATTTTTGAAAATTTCGATTCTTTTGTATATCACTTGAATTTCGATCCTGTAGACTACTGGAAATGGGTCATAGTAGTTTCCTTTTGAATACAATGTTCTTAAGTTATGCGGAAAATTCTAGAACATTCCAGAAAATTCCAGAAAATTAAAGAAAGTTCCAGAACATTCTAGAAAATTCCAGTAAATTCCAGAAAATTCCAGAACATTCTCGAAAATTCCATAGAATTCTAGAAAATTCCAGAAACTTCCAGAAAGATCCAGAAAATTCTAGAAAATTCCAGTAAATCCCAGAAAGTTCCAGAACATTCTAGAAAATTCCAGTAAATTCCAGAAAGATCCAGAAAATTCTAGAAAATTCCAGTAAATCCCAGAAAGATCCAGAACATTCTAGAAAATGCCAGTAAATCCCAGAAAGTTCCAGAACATTCTCGAAAATTCCAGAAACTTCCAGAAAGATCCACAAAACTCTAGAAAGTTCCAGAAAATCCTAGGAAGTTCCAGAACATTCTAGAAAATTTCAGTAAATTCCAGAAAGATCCAGAACATTCTAGAAAATTCCATAGAATTCTAGAAAATTCCAGAAACTTCCAGAAAGTTCCAGAACATTCTAGAAAATTCCAGTAAATTCCAGAAAGATCCAGAACATTCTAGAAAATTCCAGAAAACCCTAGGAAGTTCCAGAACATTCTAGAAAATTCCAGTAAATTCCAGAAAGATCCAGAAAATTCTAGAAAATTCCATAGAATTCTAGAAAATTCCAGAAACTTCCAGAAAGTTCCAGAACATTCTAGAAAATTCCAGTAAATTCCAGAAAGATCCAGAACATTCTAGAAAATTCCAGAAAACCCTAGGAAGTTCCAGAACATTCTAGAAAATTCCAGTAAATTCCAGAAAGATCCAGAAAATTCTAGAAAATTCCAGTAAATCCCAGAAAGATCCAGAACATTCTAGAAAATTCCAGTAACGTCTTCATAATAAGAACGGCTGTTCAAAATAACGGTGGACCGCGGATTTTCCTGAAGTCGCGACCACACAGCCTTGGTATCAATTAATACTATCAAAAATGTTAAAGCAAGTTGATTAGCAACTATATGGATTCTGACAGTTTTCATCAGATTTGATAACTTGATTCTCCAATCCGAAGTCAGAATTTTTAGTTGATTCAGTTGAAGAGAGATAATAATAATAAAAAAATCTACGATCTAATAGACACTGAACACAGCTCTCCAACAAAAAAATTTAGCCCGCTAAACCACTTTGAGGTCCAGATATCGAACCTCAAAAACAACACTGCCAAAGAGAAAGAAACTTTCCTAGCAACCTAATATTATGCTTGTCTGAGAAAAAAAGGTTGAGGCGCAGAGAAAAAGTGTCTGTGTCTCCACCTTATGTGTGCTATTTAGGCTCTCCGCTTCGATATCGCTACCGTATTCAGACTGCAAAAAATACTCTCTAACCTTTTTTTCTCAGACAAGCATATTAGTTCAATATGTTTTGGAGTGTTTCAACATTTTTTTCATGTGGATTTTTTTTGATTTTAGGCTTTTTTGAATGTTTGCTATTTTTCGCGATAGGGAATATTGAGCTTACATCAATTCTTCATCTGCATACTTTATTTTCTTAAATCAAAATAATATAGAAGTTCATAAAATCTAAAACTATTATGGTATGGGCACCCGATTCATCTTCTTCTGCTTCCGTTGTTTCTGATTCAGCTTCGGCTGATTCTCAATAAGTCCCAAACTCTGTGCAATATTCTCCAGGATGTTTGAGTTCTGACGGTGTTGGTAGGCAAGCTTCTTGGATGGAGTGACATGAACTCGACGGAGTTTCTGAAAATACCTTTTTTGAGACCGATGTTTTAAGATAAAAGGAAAACCTTATCAGTTTTCCCGTGCTTTGGCTTTCTTCTCAATCGTTTTGGCGCTCGTCGAATTTCCTTCGAGTTGACTACTTTCTTCTCGGATTCTCTCGCGATTTCCTTCTCGATACGGAATGGTTTCTCTCCCTCGTCCATGTTATAGGCAAAGTTTTCATTTGTGGTCTGAAATTATATCTTTAAAGGAATCTTAAATAACAGGATACTCACCGAGAATACTCGAAAAGCTGGATGCCTCCATGGCACTCTCTTCACCTTCACAATCCTTCTTCTCTTATTCGTCGATCCTTCGCCACGTGTCTTCTTCACTATTTCCGCATCACCATCGAATGGCTTCTGACGACTGTCTCCGTTGATACGTGGCAAGGACGTCTTCACAGCATGAACCTTTGGTGGAGAGAGATTCAGGGCTTGATTCATTACGCTGACTTGTGGACCAGTGGATACTGTAGGAAGTTGGGCTCGAGGAGGAGCAAATAGAGCAGGACGAGTTTGGGAAGCTGCTGGTTCCGGTTCTTCTTCTTCTGATTCAGAATCATCAGATCCTCCATCAATGACAATGGTTTCAGGGCTTTCAACATTCTCTTGAAGCTCTTCTATGGTCTCTTGGGTCTCTGTTATATCTGTTGTATCTGGGACATCTGATGAATCTGGCTCTGGAGCGCTTTCAACTTTCTGATCCACGTTCTCAGCTTTACCAACCGAAAATTGACTAGCTGGTACTGCATCTTGTTGAACAGTAGGCTCCTCATTGATTGCCACTTCGCTAGGTGCCACAGCAAATTTTTGTGCGCCATCCTCCTGTGCAAACGTCAATGGTCTCTTTCGGTAGTTGCCCCGAAGCTCATCCAGTGTTGGAAGTCCATCAGTAGCAATTGCAGAAGCCTTCTGGGGAGTTCTTCTAATTTCTGGAATGATCGGTGGTGGTTGGGGACCTTGGGTCATAGCCATGGCTTCTACAGCGGAATAGGCGGAATTCTCAGCATTTTGAATGGCTTTCTTCGTGAGTGTCTCACAAGTGCAGACTTCAGAATTCTCTCCACGAATGCCTAGATTTCCAATGTCACCTCTTCTACCATACAGCCCTCCTGCTCCTGACGCTCCTATGTCTCCAGGCATTCCTGGTTCTCCAATAGGTCCTGGAGTGTTGTTATTAGTGCCATCCTCGCCTGGTTGTCCCTCGGTTCCAGGCTTTCCAGGTGGTCCCTTTGGTCCCTTCGTGTTCAACAAGACCACGCCATCCTGCCCGACTGATCCAGCAGCGCCTCTTGATCCCATTGCTCCTTGTTTTCCAGGACTACCGTATCCTCCAGGGGCTCCTGGCTGCCCATTCTTCCCCATAGGCCCAGGAATTCCTGGAGCTCCAACAAGTCCGGGTTTTCCAGTTGGTCCGGGTTGGCCTGGTTTTCCATCTGGTCCAGGTGGACAGGTAGAACAAAACTGTGGGAAGCTTGGGACCAACTCATCCATCGCGTCGGCTCCTGACAATCCATCGTTTCCATCTGTTCCTGATTGTCCAGGAATACCACGAAGACCTGGTGGTCCTGGAGGTCCAGGCGGACATCGATTCTCTTCTAGAGGGCAGATAGGAAGGGGTCCAGCAGGAGGTATTTGGCGTTCTCCAGAGTGTAAAAGTGTTGGGTGAGCAGTTGGTTTGGTTCCTGGAGGTCTGACTATTGGAGAAGGAGTTCCGAGAATCACTTTAGCAGATCCAGTTCCAGCAAGACTATGGGGTGAACTTTGGGATCGTGGATCTCGTGGAACTTCCGAAATGGTATCTGTATCGTCATACTCTGATTCTTCTCCCTCATACTCATCAGTAGGCGTGGGGGCTTCTCGAGCAAGCTTGCGAAGTTCAGGACTAAACAATGACGGAGAGGATGGTGGGAAGGTCACAGATTCTGCACTATCTATTACTTCAGCTCGGTGTGTTTTGGCTGCGTTTGCGAGCGGGGGACCTGATGGGGCTATTGGGTTGAATCGATGATCAGCAGGTCCTGAGGATGTTTGGTCAGCAGTGACCATTCTGGAAATTTACAATTTTTCGAATAGAAGCTAGTGTATGTCATGATAACCTGTAATAGAAAAGCCCTCTGACTTCCAACTTTGAGCCAATTTATCTTGCTTCCTGTAGAAGATATCGAAAAGTTGTCAGCTGTTAATATGTTTATCATAATATCAGAAGTATTCTGTCAGTTGACACATTTTTGATATGTTTCATGAGGATCGGGGTAATTGAGATCAAACTTGACAGTATGAGGGGTCCTTCTATTACAGGTTTTACTGTATATTGCATTCAGCAAGTACCTTAAAACCTGTATTAGAAGGGCACTTTTAATAGAAGGATCCCTCTATAATAGGGGCCCTACGAGAGGGGCTTGAAGACATAGAAGGCCCCCTCTAATTGAAGAGCCCCTATAATAGAAGGGCCCTCCGGAGGTACCTTGGAAAAATAGAAGGGCCGACCCTTCTAATACAGGTTTTACGGTATTTAAAGAAACAACTCACTCTTTTGCTGCCTCCCTCTGCTTCCTAATAGAAATCGGTCGAATTCCAGCAAGACCGTCATAAGAGTTCTCAAAACTTTTCAGCGCTTCTCGAATCTCCAAATCGAACTCCTCACGAATAGCGTCGATTTCAGAGAATAGAAACGGAAGGAATAGAATTTGACAAGCGGCAGTGATCACTGCCAGTGCCACACTAACAACCACATAGTTTTCTATGGCTAGTCTTCCCATTTTGGAGAAGACGGGAGAAAAAACGAAAACGTTTATTGGAAATTCGCTTTCACACCCGATGGTTTATATAGGTTTCAAACGGAAATAGAAAAAAAACGCATGCTAACTGTTGACCTACTTTGATAGGGATCTTTTGGGAGAAAATGCGGGGGGAAAGTGAAAAAAAATCAGATTAGATCATGGAATAGTTAATTAAAGCATGCTTGAACTAGCCGGAATAAAAAAATATAGCTGGACGGAACAAGAAGAATCAGAGTACGACGATACAGATACCATTTCGGAAGTTCCACAATCCCAAAGTTCCCATACAGCCTTGCTGGAACTGGATCTGCTAAAGTGATTCTCGGAACTCCTTCTCCAATAGTCAGACCCCCAGCTCCCAAGCGTCCCACAGTTGTGTTCTAACTTTTCGGTTTAGGTCTGTAATTTTTTTTGGAGATACCCAAAGGCTACCATTCCAAAACAATCCATAATTTAGAAGATCAAGAAATTCAGAACAAAAAATCTTCTCAAAAAAAATCATTCATTCATAAAACACACAATAAAACGTTTTCACTTTTATCACATCTACATAGTAGCTTGAATTTTCTAGAGTCGCCTTTTGTGGAAAAACAAAAGAATTAGATCGGCGTGTCCTTGCGATCCTCCTTCAGAATCCGACGACACTCTCCTTTTTGCCCCATGACTCCTTTCAACACAGCTTCCAGTCCAGCGAATTGAGTTTCCACCTGTGTCAGCTCAACTCGATTCATCTCCCACTTCTGAAAATCAATTAACGTAAAACCGGTTATAGAAGAGCCCCCCCCCCCCAACTGTTAACTTTGAGCCAAGTTTTCTCGGCTCCTATGAAAGATATCAAAAAAGTGTCAACTGACAAAATACTTCTGGCATTTTGATAGACAATTTATCAGTTGACAACTTTTCAATACCTCTCCCAGAAACCGAGAAAAATTCCCTAGAAGTTAGAAGTCAGGAGCACTTCTATTACAGGTTTTACGATTAAGAGGAAAATAACTAACAATTATTGCTGTCGACTCGTTATTTATGTATTGCGCTGGAACGAACACCTTCAGTGAGTCCGAACACACCAATTTGTCACCATTATCATCATTCCACCACTGCTTCTCCATACACCAGTTGATCATATAAAAGTAGGGTTTGGGGAAGTACATCTGGAATTACAGTAGCTCCAAAAATAACCAATTAAAAAAAAAAGACATACCGCATCATTAAGAGTAGCTTTCAGTTCGAAATACCCATTCGGATCGGTCTTGGTCTTTGCTCCAAAGCTATCAGCAAACACTGAAAAATTCAGAAAAATCCAAAAGTAGTGAGTTTCCGAACCCACCATAATTCTTCTCCCAAAGAGTCACTTTCTCGTGTTGATATGGTGTTCCATTGCAGAAGAGTTGTCCAGTGATATGAACATAAGCCTCGTGGCCCCAGATTGCTGGGAACAGAAGGATCGGAACTAGGAAGATCACCTAAAGAAGAAAAATTGAATACAAATCTATAAACTTCGCAGGCTTACTTGACGCATCATCATACTCGTTGTGAGCGATGTTGATTGCTCAGAGGATGACTATAATAGATGAACGTGGCTCGCCAGCACTCACATCTACGTGGGTACTGAAGAACGCAACATTCCTTACGTGTTAATGACCTGATTTTGAAAGTTTATTATGGTTACTGATACCAGCTTCCTTTTACTGGATGAGTTCATTTCATGAGGGCTTAAACCGTCTTTTAATGGGGAACTTTTACGATTAAGAATTAATATAAAAATTTTTTTTTTTTTATTATTTAAAATTCGGCTATCAAAAAACTTTGATACACAGGTGTTTAACGAGTAAAATTCTTTGGAACTTCAAATACCAGATGAAGCGGTCCCTGTGGTTGTTTGCTTCTTTTCCTTTTTGCCCTTCTTCGCTTTTTTAGCCTTCTTTCCCTTCTTTTTCTTCGTTTTCTGAGTTTTTCCAGTTGTTGTGTTATGAGTTCCAGAAGTCCCCGTACCAGTAGTTCCATCTTTTGTAGTGGTTCCAGATGTTTTTCCGTTCTTATTTTTCTTGTTTTTCTTATGCTTCTTTGCTTCTCCTGTAGTGGTAGTACCACCTTCTTGCTTTTTGCCCTTCTTTTTGAAAATGTAAGAAATGAAGAACATGAGAACAACCGCAACTGCAGCTCCAATCAAAAATCCTCCCATCGTGGTAGCGAATGGAAACGAATTATCTTTGGTTGTAGTCGCAACTGTGGTGGTTGTAGTTGTTGTCGTCGTGGTCGAAGTAGTAGCTATTTTGTAATGAGAGTTAATGCAAGGCGGAACTGAACTTTTGAACTTTTTTTCTCAATTAGTATGAATAGCTTACAGTTTTCTGAAAACTTTTCAGGCTAGAAAATTAATGAGTCAGGCTAGAATTCAGGCTAGAAAATTTAAATTTACTAAAAGCAGTATTTCGTAGCTGATATTTCAAATTTTGTCTCATGTGTTGTCGGACAAAAAAATAGCACCTGAAAATATAAAGAAAATTAATGTTTCCAATCTAGGTAAGTTTTAGATACTCCAAAATTTATCTAGCAATTTGAAAGTGCACCTTTTTGGAAACAAGATTTTTAAATCAAAACCTTTATTTTAGACTTAAATAAAGCACGTTGAAACATTTTGTACAAGTAAGTTGTTCAAGACCAATTTCTCAATAAGCCGTGGCGGTGTTGGTCTCCGTAGTATTTTTTGACTTCTTAGTCTTTTTAACCTTCTTATCCTTTCTCTTTTTATCTTTCTTCTTATTCTTGGTTTTTCCCGTGTTTGTAGTTCCTGTTCCTGTTGTTCCAGTAGTATTTGTACCTGAGCTGTTTTCGACTTTTTTTTTCGTTTTCCGGTTTCAGCGTCCAGTCCGTCATCCGATTTGGGCTTTTTTTTGCAGAAACACAGGAAAATGGTCATGAATAGAAGGCCAAAAATGAAACCTCCAACAGCACCACCAAAAAATGCAGAAGCGGGAAAAGAACTAGTCGTTGTTTCCACTGGTTTCATTGTTGTACTTGTCGTTGAAGTGGTTGTCGTAGTATTCTGTGGCAATAATCTCTCGTAGTTAGCATTGTTTGCGCCACAAAATGAGCCTTAAAGCTTTCGAAGTTTCATTGCCATTGGTTTATTGCGGCTTACCCAAACCAATTAAATGACAGAACGTCGCGGCTCCTCTGCCCACTATTTCCTCACATTTGTCTGAATTTTTCGATTAATAGTTCTCGACCCAACAAGAACTTACTTTTGCCATAAGAACTTTTTTCGACACAATGAGCTACCATTTGTTTTAAGACATATGGCGGACACTCTGAAAAATAGGAGCTTCGCAAAATAACAAGTATCGGAGTGTACATACTTTCATCATTGTGCTGTCGATCGACATAGACACAAAAGGCGAAATTCACAAACCTGAAATTATCCCATTAAACGAGTACAGGAGAATTGCAGAAGTCAGTCTTCATATGAATCGTCACGAAAAATTGATAGTTCTTGTTTAGGAAAATTTATAAAATTTAACTTTTTACGAGGGCATTGAAAGAAATGGTAATTGGACTGTGACCATTTAGAATAAAAATATAAAATAACTAGTTTCGCACTGAAATATTGAAATTCAAGAAAAAATGAAGAAAATGTAAAAATAAGGAAGAAGGCTAAAAGGATCTACAATGACCAAAATAGCCGACAAGAGCCGAACTCCTTTACCATTTTTGAGAAAAAGTAAGGTAAGATGGTGCGTTAAATCTTTTATTAAAGTTAAGAATAACTATTTCGGAATGGTTTCCTCAAATTTCCTGTACCAAAACTATTAATGTTGTTGTGTTTTACTTCAGTTATTGTAAAATAAGCACAACTTCTGAAACACTTCTAGTGTACTTCATATCTGTTTAAGTTCCAATATTTAAAACTCACAGCGTGTATCTACTTTCCTCCGATTCGTCGAAGGAGTATTTGTGGTCCAATAAACCCATGTTTCAAGTGCTCGTCGAGAAGTTTCGAGGGATTGTTTTCTGGCGGAAGCCATCCTGGCAAAACCATAGTTCATAGTACCCTAGTCACCTAGGGCGCAGCCTGGTCAACCAGTGTTAGTGTGTACAGTTCGGGCACGCCTGATAAAAAGTTGTGACAGAAAAGAAGAAGGCCCTGCTCGATTAAAAATATCTCTGTAAGCAGTTTTTGGATTGAAACCTAATTATTAAAAAAAAAAGATACCGTAAACACTCTAATAGAACGCCATCCGGACCGTCCACTTTGAGCCTATATAACTCATTTCCCGTAAGAGGTATCAAAAAGTGGTTAACTAATGAATTTTTGCTGATATCGTGATAAACATTTTATCAGTTAACCACTTTTTGATATCTTTCACAGAAAATGAAATACATGGGCTTAAATTTGACCATTCGGGTGGCTTTCTATTAGTGTTTATGGTATGTGCCAATTTGTGATAAAAATAACCTCTACAATGTGTTGCAGTTTTTTTCAAACTATTCGGAATAAGAGATTGTTTTTCAATTGAATTTGTTTAATTACCAGAAAATCCGTTTTTTTTTCAGAAATTTCAGACACTGACTCTTTTTGACATTCATCCAAGAAAATCTTTGCTTTCTTAGTATTTGTAAATCTCATGTTTCATGTCTACTGGAGCCGTCACAGGCGCCGGCGCTTTCTTTTTTGTTGGCGACGCTTGTTCAGAGTTCACTTGTGAGGCAGACGTGGCAATGGTGATCGGCGGCTCATCAGTGTCCGTTGGCTCCTGATCAGTGCTCGCCGGCGGCGGCTCACTTCTGTCTCTTCTGGAAAAAAAGATCTAATTTTTAAAATATCCTTGATTTTCTAATTAGTGTAATTAGTCTTCTAATTAGTAAGTAATTAGCCTTCTAATTAGTAAGTAATTAATCTAATTAGAAATTAGTTACCTTGGAATATGCGCCATACTAACTGCTCGTCTCGGCGTCCTCTCGTCATTCCTAGCCATCAACCCAACCTCGGTTTCTAGTTTAATCCAAGCAGTTCTTTTCGCCTAGAATTTATTTTTTTTCGAATTTTCTTCTTCTTATAAGATCATTATCAATAAACTTTTTGAATGTGTTGCAGTTTTTTTTCAAACTATTCATAAGATAAATTGTTTTTCAATTGAAATATATTTTTTTTAATTACCAGAAAATCCGTTTTTCTGCAATTTTAGAAACTGACTCTTCATCCTAAAGAATCTTTACTTTCTTAGTATTTGTAAATCTCATGTTTCATGTCATGAATCCCAAATAGAAATCTTTATTATTACAAATTTGTAACTTTTAATATTTAAAACCATATTAAAATTCAATACCAGAAAGCGAATGAAATGTGTTTGTGTTCGACAAGTTGTGTAAAGAAACCGAGAGAAAAAAGACACCCGTAGGAAAAGAAGCAAGAAAAAAAAACAATTATTCTATCCTCTGAACACCTTGCTCCGGCATCTTGTACGCTGTCACATCTGCCAACTCATCAGAAGACGTCGTAGTCAATACTGGAGCCGTCACCGGTGCCGGCGCTTTCTTTTTCGTTGGCGAAGCCTGTTCAGAGTTCACTTGCGAAGCCGACGTTGCGATGGTGATCGGCGGCTCATCAGTGTCCGTTGGCTCCTGATCAATGCTCGCCGCTGGCGGCTCACTTCTGTCTCGTCTAGAAAAAAGATCCAATTTTAAAAATATCTTTGATCTTCTAATTAGTCTTCTAATTAGTAATTAATTAGACTAATTAGTAATAAGTTACCTTGGAATATGTGCCATACTAACGGCTCGTCTCGGCGTCCTCTCGTCATTCCTAGCCATCAACCCAGAAATCGCTGTATCTCTATCCGTGCTTCGGCGATTATCAGAGAGCTAAAATAAATGCTAATTAGGGCTTAATTAGAGTTAATTACTCACCAAGCTAGGCTGTAACTCATCCCACTGACTGAGCATGTCGGAAACAGTGAATCCTTTTCCAGCTGCCGGTTGATGGAGTACGTCTGGAAATAGTTGTAATTAGGTCTAATTAGTTCTAATTAAGTATAATTAGGTACCTGTAAAATCGATCAAAGACATTCTCGGCGAGTTGGGCGCCGATTTGCTCTTCTTCTCGACCATTCGTTTGCGGAACAGCTCGAACTCGGATCGAGCCTGGATATCGCGGAAGCGTTTGACGTGCTGGCAAGCCTTTCCCAGCATAATGACACCGTTACAGCACTTGATGGCAAGAAGGAGGAACCAACCGATTACTGGAAGCCAATGATATTTATAAGTGGATTGATGATCATAATAACTTACCAAAAACAATAATCGATCCCCAATTATCGAGTGTAAACGTCTGACTCAACACTCGAATGATCATAATCGACAATGGAATCGGAATGAAGCCCATCCGCCTTGCCACCTGATCCGAATAGTCACTGAACGCGCTCTCCTCCCGACTTCGGATTACATCGAACGCTATGGTTATTGTGAAGTCCTTGTACACTTCTGAATTAATCTCGTTGAATTTTGTGATGAATGCGTGCTTCAGCCAATCCACAAAGTACTCGCAGCCGACGACCATTATCTGAAAAAATTACCTGTTAGGCGACGTTTCAAAACCACGACGTTTCAGAACCCGACGCTTCAGAACTGCAACGTCTCAGAACTTTTTTGCATTTAGTATAGTGGTTTTTGTGTTCCTCATTTCATTTTGTATTGCTCATTTCAATTTGTTGTATTGCTCATTTCAATTTGTATTGCTCATTCCAATTTGTTGTTTTTCTGCTTTTTCTCATCTACCGTACTCCAAATAATGGCTCCGCGTCACTTCGAAACTGCGACACTTCAAAACCGGTCGTTTTAAAACTGTGGTAATACAGGCGAATGGATGAATTTCAGACTACAGAAACAAATATAGGGTTTTCAAATATGCTTTTTCTGATAGAATTTTGAAAATCAATTAAATTTGGGATTTTTTTAGATTTCAGAATGTATTCTATCAGAAAAACCATACTTGAAAACACTAAAATATTTTTTTGCAGTCTGAAATTTGTTCATTCGCCAGCATTGCCACGGTTTCGGAATGACTGGTTTCAAAGTACCGCAGTTTCGAAGTGACGCGGTTTCGAAGCGACGCGGAGCCATTATTTGGAGTACGGTAGATGAGAACGGTTGAAAAAGCAGAAAAAAAACGAATTTAAATGAGGAATGCTCATTTGTTGTGGAAAAACCACTATGCAAAAATGCAGGAAAGTTCTGAAACGTCGTGGTTCTGAAATGTCGAGTTCTGAAACGTCCAGGACTACAACTTTGAATCTAAATCTTCTTCTCCACTTACGATATCCGGCACCATTTCCGCAAACGAGTCGACATTCCAATTGACAGCAGTCATATTTCGAATCATGACCACAAACAGTAGTGCATAAATATGGAATCGTTCTCGAACATCACTGCAAGCCATTTGAAACAGATTCGCCTTTGCAAACTTCTTGAATACAGCCCCTTTCAACTCCACAAAGTTATTGCTCATCATAATTGCAAGTACGGTTTGGTTGTGTGAATTGAATGCCACGTTGAGGACGGTGGCTTGGAGAATGACTAGAAATGAGTGAATAGTGGCGTAGACGATGGCGACGATGAGGTGGAGAGTGGTTCGGACGATGTGGCCAGCGGATAGACGACGTTCCGAGTTGGCAGTGAAGAGTAGTGCGTCGAACATGTCCTGTCCCAAACTACTAAACAATCGATCGGCAACCTCTAACATGTTGTAGAAAATGTACAGCTTGATGGTCCCCTGACTCCTTACTTGATGATATAGAAATGATGAATCTGAAACTTTTCCATCCATTTGGGATGTCTTCTCGAATTTTCTTGCTTCTTACCAATCTCCCGAATCAACATGGAAGCCGCAAAAATGATAAGGACTTTTAAAAAGTCGCAAGTCTCCGCAGACGTCCATCGTTTCACTCGAAAAAGCGCACCAAAAATTGACATTAGAAATCGGAGGGGTAGAAATGTGAAGAGATAGAAGAAGGAGTCGATGCACTGGAGAAGGCCGTAGGCCAGGAACTGCTCGAGTTCCAGAGGGATTCGAAGGAACGCGTAAACTTTTCGACGCTTCTCCGAGAAACGAGCATGGTCGTTGTGCAGAGAGTAGCCTCTGGAATGTGAAGGTTTTGATCGAGATTTGGGCTTTTTTAACCGATTTTTGTTTGGAAATTCGATTTCGAAGAATGGCAAGAGCTCAATTGCATCAAAAAATTGTAGAAAAAAATTTAGATTCACATACTTAGCAATAAAGAAAAAATTCTGAAAAATTTCGAAATCTCGAAAATCGCATTTATGGAAACTTCTGGGAGGTACTTGGACTTTAAAAAAACTAATTTTGACCTGAAAATCATCAAAAATGAATTGAGAGAAGCAAAAAAACGACCTTAAATGAACTATATTGGTCTGAATTAATCCTAGAATTGTCACATTTTTAAACTGGCCGAAATCGGTGAAAATAACACAAAATAATTTAAAATATGATAGAAAATCTCCTGAAAATAACTCAAAATAGACTAAAATCGGTTAAAAAATTATCAAAATTCGTCTAAAACTTGAGAAAACCAGTTATCAGGTTTCAGATTAATTTAAATGATTCTAGACCTATTTTCGCCTACTTTATGTCTTTTTTAGGTCATTTTCTTGATTTTCAGTCATCTTGATTTATTTTTTAGCTGAAATTTCATCAAATTTCGGCTTAAAATTGCTAGAAAAATCCAAAAATTTTTGTAATATTTCGAGAGAAAATTTGGTTTCTTTTTCTGATTTTTATGCAAAATTTTAAAACCTTTTTAGGTTTTTCAGCTATTTTTGAAGATTCTTTTTCGATTTTTCCGGTTTTTTTCTGAAATTCGACGGGGATAGTCTTTGATTACTGTAGATTACTGTAGAAAACCTAGTATTCTATAGTTTTAAAAACGTTTTTTTCTGCATTTTGACGTGATTGTGTTTGCAATAAAAAAACCCCCAAATTACTAGTTTCTCTACAGTAACCTACAGTAATATTCTATCCAGAACACCATCCCCCGTCAAACTTCAGACAAAAAATCGGAAAATCGAATGAGAATCTTCAAAAACAGCTGAAAAACCTGAAAAGGTCTAAAACTTTTGCACAGAATCCAAGAAAAATCAATTTTTTTCGAAAAATCGCTAATTTTTCGGGATTTTCAGTTTTGGCGGGAATTCAAAAACTGCTCCAGAACCGTCCGGATGTTCCCAGATAGCGGTTTTCGATATTTTGAAAAATTGCAAATGTTTTCTTTGTTTCTATAAGAATCTACATACTTTTCTGCACATTTTAATACAATTTTTAGAAAATTTGGTCGAAGTCTTCATTTTTTATGAATTTTTTCTCGAAAAATCGATTCGAATAGTTTAAAATAGCTGAAAAAGCAATTTTCAGCAACACAAACCTTGTCATTTCTTCCCAGAAGAATCCAAAAAAGCCCTTCGGCTGAACCACATCATCAAACGGACTCTTTTCACGCTCCTGCGACGGCGATGGAGTGTCTGAAACTTTTTCTGGCGCGAATTTACATTTCTGCGGATTCTGAACGATCTTACGAAGCGGTGACGACGTCTGACTATCGCAAATCACTGTTAGCCGCTCGTCATACGAGATTCTAGACGGTTTTCGGACAGGCGTCGATTTCTCACCCTGAAGTTGTGAATTTTTGGCTTAAAACTCAAATTTCGAGCTAAAATAACTCACATCGTTCTCTAAATCACTGCCTAGCGAGTTTTTCAGCGTTAATCGTCGTCTTACTCGCTCGGATTTGGGATTTTCTCTGGAAAAATCAATTTTTATAGTGTATTTTTTAATCAAATGTACATTTCCGACTCAAAATCGATTTTCCGAGGCGTTTCCGGTGATGGTGGTGCCGACATTGTGATTGAGACCTCTTCATTGACCACACTCGACAAATCGTTGGCTTCTACGTTGATCAGAAGATCCTGAATACTCGAAGTCTCGCTGGCATTTCGACTATTGTCTCTGTAATTTTGACTTTTTGGGTTTTTAAAAATTTTCCGGTGCTCAAAAAATACCTTGACGTTGATTGCACATTGTTCATTGATCTTTTTCGCTGAAAATTCGTTCGAAAAATGTTTTTTTAATTTAAAAAGTTGTACAGTAGTATTTAAAGGCGCATGTAGGGAAAAATCAAGAAAAATGAAGCAATTTCAAAAAGTTTTAGAGGATTACTGTCGATTTGTGCTCTTTTGTGTCGCCTCTTTTCGATGCTCTTTTCACGCTTTTTTCATTAAAATTCGGTTTCAAAAGCACGTGCCGGTCTCAAAAGCACAATGCACTGCGATGCATCAAACCAGCGGGATGCGCGCCCGAGAAACGCGCCATGCACCGAAAGTGCGCAAATAAAACGAAAAGTGTGTCAAGAGACCCCTAGGGGTATAACATTTATTGCGTAGCTAATAAGAAAACAACAAAACATAATAGCAAAATTAAATAGAAATTTGACGAATTCGCTCCATTGCACGAGTCTCCTTGGCACCAGCAAGTGTCTTCGATAACCGAGGCATCGGATAGGCAAGCCAAGTCGACCTGAAAATTGAAACAATTCCTGTAAAACCTGTAATAGAAGGGCCCCCATACTCTCAAATTAATGCCAATTGATTTCGCGAGAAGTGAGATTTTTCAAACAAAAAGTTTGCCGTATCCCTATTAGAAGCCTACCGTATATAACGCATACCTTTAAACTGAACCATCTCGGTTTCTATGAAAGATGTCAAAAATCTGTCAACTGACAAAATATTTAACATTTCCTGATAAACATTTTGTTAGTTGAACACTTTTTGATATTTCACACAGAAAACGAGATAAATTGGGTCAAAGTTGAAGACGGGCGGCACAAACGCGCAGTCACAGTTTCTACGTTAAAAGCAAAGTTAAATACCATGTAGTTTATCAAAAATGCTCTAAAACGCCCCAGTAAAGCTCATTTACCTCCGAATGTGTGCAAAATGAGTGATTGGGTGGTTTGAACACCGATGGATCATTCAAATTAAACATTTTATTGTAGCATCCACGGAATGTCATTTGGCTGTAGGCACCTGAATAATAAATTAGGGTAATTAATTGTTTTAATTACTTCCTGAAGTTACACTAACCCGAATTATTAACAGTTTGGGTCCACTTAACGCAAATACCACCGGCACCACAGTCATCTGCGCTTCGGTCCCTAATGATATTTGTGCTCCCATTGCAATCATCACTGAACGTTCTGGGTAGTTGAATCCGCCCTCCTGGACCTCGTTGCTTGGTCAGAAAGTTCTGGAAAGAGATGATGGTCTAGAAAATCTTCCGGTGGCCTAAAATTACATACCTCTTTCATATTGTTACTGGCGCAACTGAAGCATTTGATGGCGTCTGTGGAGGTGAAGAGAAGAGAGTATACCAGGAAGCTCAGCATTTTTCTTTCTGTGGAATCTGAATTACAAGAAAATAAAATCAAACACTTGAAAATTGACAAGGATCGTGGGATATGGTCGGGAAAAAAAAGAAAATCAACATGAAAAAATAAAACTGTCCTTCTTTCTGGGAACCGGGTCGTAAAAATTGTATGAGAAGAGAGATAGAGACAGAGGAAATGGGAATTTTCAATCCAAAGTATTGAATTTACATCCTTTTTAGAAACCAAGTTTTGAATATTGAAACAAAGCTCCAATAACCCGAGATAACCAATTTTTCTTCCAAATTCACATATAGCCGGAAACAACAAAAAAAAAGAATGTTAAAATTGAATTTAGTCCCAAATACATAAACTTTTACTGATTTTGGAACCCCAAAAAACAGCGAAACAAACGAGTAAGTTCAAAAACACAAAATTCTCATTTTTATATTTTTCTACTTAAAAACTCGCACTCACTTTTTCAGAAATCATATCTAGGCTCTTAAATGATCTCGCATTGTCTCGACTTACAATTAGCCAAGCTACAGTATACTTTCAGCTCAATTATCTCGGTTCCTTTAAGAGATATAAAAATGTTATCAACTGATAAAATACTTAAAACAATATCACCAACATTTTATTAGTAGACAAATTTTCGGCATCTCGTATAGGAACCGAGATAGTTGAGCTCGAAGTGCATGTAGCAGTATCACCGTAAATGCTCTAATAGAAACCCGAGTGCAATTTGAGCTCATTTAACTCGATTCCTGTAAAAGATTTAAAAAATTTGTCAACTAGTAAACTATTCATCATAATATCACCAATATTTTATCAGTTAACCAATTTTTGATATTTTTCACTGTACCCGAGATAATTGAGCTCAAAGTGAATGTAACAGTACCACCGTAAATGCTCTAATAGTGACCCAAGTGCATTTTGAGCTCAATTATCTTAATTCCGGTAAAACAGATGAAAAATCTGTCAATAAATAAATTATTTATCATAATATCACCTATATTTTATTAGTTGAAAGTTTTTTGATATCTCGTATAACAACCGAGATAATTGAGCAATATTACCGTAAATGCTCTTATAGTAACCTAAGTGCACTTTGAGCTCAATTATCTTGGTTCCTATTAAAGATATCAAAAAACTTTAAATTGGTAAAGTATTGATGATATTATGATAAACATTTTATCAGTGAACAGATTTTTGATATCTTTTGAAGGAACCGAGATAATTGAGCTCAAATTTGACGGTGTGGATGGGCTTCTATTAGAGGAAAGGCCTAATATTTCAATTTTTAGTCTTTTAATCAAACATCAAAAAACTAATAAAATCAATTTTCGAGAAAGTAGAAAAGTAGTACTTTTTCGCCTGCTATCCCATCTCCTCCTGTCCAAAAGGTATTTGTTTGTATAGGAAAGGCCTGACCTAGAGGGAGAGAGAGACTCGGATATATCCTTCAACACAAGCCAAGCCGCTTTTCCTCTCCCTCTTGTCCAAATATTGTCCAAATATATTCACTAGAGAGTCCTTTTTCTCGACAGGGGATGGTGAGGAGACATTTTGGAAAACATAGGTGTCGGTTTCAAGTGTTTAGAGGTGTGGCAAGGGAATGCCAAAGGGTCGGGGGTGGAATTATGAGCAGATTTAGTATAGCTTGAAGAATGGAGAGAAGAAATCGGTGTACTGTTTCTAGATGGAGTACCGGCCGATAGGATATAGAAAAACGTATTTTTGAACTGATTTTCATTTTGACCATCTTCAGGATGGCCTATGCGCCTTTAATCTCAAGAGGACGGAGGGGGAAGGGACGCGCCACCTTTAAAGGCACATAACTCAGAAACTATGGTAGCTAGACAAGTTTTTTCAATTGTAGAAATATGGGAATTTTAGTTTCGAATACTTTTTTAGTTTTCACTATATTGCTAAGAACATTAGTTTTTGAGTTATGCGTCTTTAAAGTTAGCGTACCCCGTCTTCTAGTTTTTAAGTTTCCGATCTTTTTGAAAATTTTGGAGGGTGTAAAACAAACCTAGATGTGCAACTTTGCATCTACAAAATTTTTCGCGATTTCCTCCTAGATTTTTAGCTATTCGTCCATTTTTTTGGGACAACTATTTTTCCCGTTTTCCGTAAGACAGTTGACAGCCGAGCTACAGACTGTTGAAAATGCCGAAAATCCACTGAAAATACATTTTTGAATATCTTACTGAACGGTACTGTAGATCGGTTAGTAATGAGGATTTAAACTGTGTACTATATTATTTTCGCTAGAGATATTTTAGCTCAAAATGTGAACAGCATCTATACAGTGTTCATTTCAGGGCTAGGAAGTTTTCGAATATCCCAAAATAGGAAAAAAGTACCAAAACATATTATTAGTCAATTCCATCACATGACGAATATACGAACTCTCTCCCTCTCTCTCTCAACACATTTCTATTATCGTTCCCGCAAATACATGAATTGGTGCTCATGCTCTGACCCCTCACCGAGACAGTATAGCAGTCTAGAGAGATCCAGAGAAGCAGACTACTAATATGAGGAACTGTTTATTTACTGGCGGATCTCGAGGAGGAAGAGTTTTTTTTGTATACGTTATTCCTTGTTTGTAATAAAAGGAGAATAAAGTCTTTAATGAAACAAAGAAGGAGAAACACCAATACAATTTGTTCATAATTGATATTTAAAAGGAAGCACAAGAAAAAAAGACGCATTCTAAAAATTTTTGTTCTAGGAACACATTCTCTTTTCACATAATTATGACTCATCCTCCTCTTCTTCGTCTGATTTTATTCGAAGAGAAGGAACTCGATTTTCCAAAAACTGACGATGGTCCACCTCTACCAGACGATGCTTCAGATTCTGATGATTTGGATGGAGCGACGCACCAAGAAGAAAAACCATATTGAAAAATGATAATTCGCTCTAAAATTTCCAAATTTTCAAAAAGCGGGCCGGCCATCTTTTCCACAAGTATGATTTTTTTATGTACTGGCGGATCTCAAGGAGCTCCTTTTTTGTATAAAAAATAAGTCAGAAAAATAAAAAAGTCTTTAATGAAACAAAGAAGGAGAAACACCAATACAATTTGTTCATAATTGATATTAAAAGAAAGCACAAGAAAAAAAAGACGCATCCTAAAAATATTTTCTTTTCTAAAGAATTCCTTATGACTCATTTTCCTCTTCATCTGATTGTTTTGAAGAAGAGGAACTCGATTTTTCAGAAACTGACGATGATCCTCCTCTACCAGAAGATGCTTCAGATTCTGATGATGACTCTTCAGATTCCGACGAACTTTCTGATTGAGAAGACTTCCTGGATCCAGACGACGTCTTCGACTCAAAGTTCTCATCTTCATAATCATCCTTCTCCACCACAAACGTTCCAGCGGCACTAGAACCTTCAGATCCTCGTCTGGATTCCACTTTTAGCTGGGTGGAAGTAGTTCCCTTGCCACTATTCATTCTTTCAGCGAATTTCCGTTTCAGGCGGTGCTCTTGAGCTAATGCCGTTTGTTTTTCCATGATAAGAGGGCCATTGAGTACTCTGGAAGAGTTTAGAAGTTGCAGAATCAAAGTCTATCAATCCGTACCTCTGCTTCATTTCTGTCAACTGCCGCATGTACTCCTGAGTAGTCTCTTGCTGTTGTTGCCTACAAATTCTCAATTTTCTACATTTTCTAATTCCAAAATTTTCAAAATCCGCAACTCACATTTTCATCTTTGTCCTCATCGCAATATTCTCATCGGTCTTACTTCGGGCACCCAGAAATGTGGCGATCCTCCTTCGATTATCCTCCGCCCAGTAGTTATTCTTCGCGGCCTCCTCGGCCCGTACCTTTTGAATTCTCGCTTTATTGAGTTCCTCTCTCAATTGTGCCGAATGCGTGCTAGGCACTCGATTTTCAGTTGGTTTTGGTGCTTTTGGAGATGGTTTGTATTGTTCTGGCTCTTTTTCCTTGCAATGGGCATGACGAGTGGTTGCAGATTGACTTCGGTAAGAAGAGAGTTTGAAAGGAATCGGGACGGTGGAGGGCTTCGAGTTAGCACGACGATAGTCTTCATTGATCTGAAAACGAGGAATTGAGAGATATTGAGTTTTGAAAGAATATGTACCTTGGCATGAATCTTGTTGAAATCCGGGGGAGAAGTTCTTCTATGCTGTACCACGGATGTTGTGTCTAGTGTGCACTTCCCATGTCTCAGTTTGTGTGTCATGTTGGATTGGTGACGGTGGCTCTGAATAGGAGGTTTTAGCTTTGCCAATTTTGCACCTGGTTATCTGAATCCCCATTAAAAAGTCAACTATCGTAAAACCTGTAATAGAGGGGCACTGTCAAGTTTGAGCTCATTTATCTCGGTTCCCATCAAAGATATCAAAGAAGTGCAAACTATTAAAACACTTCTGATATTATGATAAGCAATTTATCAGTTAACAAGTTTCTGATATCTTTCACAGGGATCGAAATAATTGAGCTCAAAGTTGACGCTTTGGTTGGGCTGCTATTAGAGGTACTACGGTACCTACATACATAGAGGGCACTTCTATTAAAGGTTTTAAGGTAGTTTTACACATATTTTCAGTTCACTACTCATTGAAACGTCTCAATTAAATCTAAGAAAATCGGTCTCAATGAATTCGGTCCCTTTTATATGTACCTTGATCCCCTTTGGCGTTGTCGCCTCCTGAATCAAAACGGCTGTTCTCGTAGCTGCACTCCTCCCTCTAGCATTTGGCTTCACTGGAATCGGAGACACATATGTAGTTGGTGGTACATATCCCAGGGGTTTGATGGATGCTGAAAGTGTTCTATAGCAACCAAAATTATCAATCCAAAACCTACCTAGATTTCCCTCACTCTTTGATCGCACCATTTCATTTTGCGCCTCAAACTTCTTCCTTGCCACCGCTGCCACTTTCTTTCTTATCGCTTCTACATACTTCTGTTCAGTGGCAAAAGTGTTCGTAGGGATGTACGTGGATTTTGGCACTGGTTTGGCTTTGAATTTCGTGTTTTCCAGAGACTTCTGCGCCTCCTCCTCTCGTCGTTGTTTCTCACTCATCATATCAGACATAAACTTTTTGGCGTAGGTATTCCCAATAGTTTTTCTGAAATTTTCAAACTAAATTTTTATAAGGATTGCTGCCACTCACCTTAATGATAACTGGAATGGTTTGGGTATAGTGACCTGAGGTTCTGGGATGTTATGCATGGACTTGGAGCGAATCTTCAGCTCATTAGTTCCAGTTTCCAATTGCCTTTTCACAGATCTATGGGAATCCCCGACAACTTCATCCACCGACATCCCATCCTCCAAAAAACTCTCTTCCACTACATCAGCGGTCGTGGCGAATTGTGGCTGCTGAATTGGCACGTGTTTAGTGCTTGTAGACGTAAGAAGATGTCCATTTGGCATTGCAACTGATGTAGTAGGAAGGTTGTACTTGGCAGAAGCATCGGCTAGCACCTGTCGGATTGTTGCTGAATTAGGGGTCTTCTGAGAACCATGATGCTGATGATGAGGATGGTGTCGGTGACGTGGCAAACTGGAGGATCGGTGATGGGAGGATGACTGCCGTGGAATTGCAGTAGTGATTGCGGTGTGGGCTTGGTGGCGATGTCTTGATGCAGAAACAGGAGGAGCTGATGGAACAGGCGGGGCCTGACGGCTCCTAGATTCACGAGGTGGAGGTGCTGAAGCTATAGTGCTCCTTGATGGAGGAACAAATGCCACAGGTGGTGGAGAAGCTACTCTATGAGGTACACGAACCACTTTCGGCGGCATTATATGAACTCGTTGGTTCCTTGGTACCATATAGTGTGATTCTTCTTCTTGTTCATAAGTGTTTCCCGTCCGCTCAACTTCATGATACTCGGGCTCTTCCCTCCGCACGCCTTCTGACTTTCGAGGGACGTCTAGCGGATCTATGTATCTCTGATGACAACTTGTAGAAGTAGTCATTTGGATTCTTGAAGAGGATTGCATGGTTTTGGACTCTGTAGTTTTTGAGGTGGATATCACAGTGGGGAGTGGAGGAGCACCGACTTTCTTGGCTAGGAAATTTGTGGTTTCTTGGTGTTTCTCACGAAGGATGGAGAGACGACGCACGAATTCTTCATCGTTGAGAAGGGTGGGGTCCTGGAAAAAAGAAGTTTGGAAATCTGGAATTCTAGGAATCTAGAAATCTAGGTATCTGGGAATCTATAAATCTAGGGATCTAGAAATCTAGGAATCTAGGATTCTAGGAATCTAGGGATCTAAAAATCTAGGAATCTAGGAATAAAGAAATCTTGGTTACCAGTAACCATCGAAAACACTCTAATAGCGTGTCAGAGTCCATCAACTGTGAGCTCAGATATCTCATTCCGTGTAGAAAATATCACATACTGGCCCACTGATAAAATGTTTATCATAATATCAAAAAATTTTATCAGTTGACAACTTGTTGATTGCTTTCACAAGAATTGAAATATATGGGCTCAAAGTTCGGCTGGCACTTCATTCAAGTTAATTTAACGGCATTGTTCTTCTAAAAAGCTTCAAAAATTGAAACACTCACTTCTTGCAACGCATCTAGCAAGTCTGCAGTTGCCTGAAGATTCCTCTTCACCTTTACATGAGGTTCTGGATTGGTTGGCATCATCTAACTAGGTATGTAGGAATAATAAAAGGATAAAAAATATTCTATACGAACGTAATCGTTCTCAGGAAATAAAAGAGTACTAGTACATGTCCCGGGATTTCATAAATGTTCTTAGATTTCGAAATTGAGTAGCCAGTGAGAGAGAGTGGGAGAGAGAAAGAGAGATGGACGACGGTTGTCATGGAGACTCATGGAAGAGGGACGGGGCAGGTGGAACCTTTAGAAGAGGAGGGGGAGAGAAATAGTGTGGGATTCTAAGAGGGTCGTGAGAGAGGGGAAGGTGTCATTAGGTGCAAATGAAATGAGGAAAGAGCATAGGGAGGAGATTGGAATCCGGAAAGAAGCCCAAAGAAGGTTTCTGAGAAATGAGGCTTGGGATTAGGACGGGGTCTATAGAAGGCTAAGAATTTAAGAATCTGAATATGTGTGTGTGGGATGGTGCCCGTTCATTTTGATTTTGAAAACATAAAACATTGAGGTCATGAGACACGAATAAAATCACTCCGCCTGGCGGCGGCAATAATCTTCTGGCAATAGAGAAAAGGTAAGAATCTGTGGGAAAAGTAAGTTTTAAGCATTCTTGTATAAAAAAGACAAACTTTGGTAATCAAAAATTTGCTTAAGAGTTCTGAAACACTGTCTAAAATCGAAAAAAAAATTATCTTAAAAATTCAGCCATGCTTCAACAAAATTACTGGTTTTATTAACAAAATCGAATTTTGGAAAAAATGCAAAATTAGTAAAAACTATAAATTATGGCGACGACAACGGCGACGACAATCCAGGTGGTTTTTCGTAGTTGTTGTTTTCTCTGAAATTTTTATTATGAAGGATTTTTGGAATCTATTTGTGTTAGTGCTCCCTAACGATGTAGAAAAAACTCACTGCTCCTGATACTCTACTGGCAAGGCAAGACGATTCCAAAGTGCACACATGGCCAAAAACGGCATAACCACCCAAACACCATTTGGAATCCAGAAGATTAGAGTGATTCCCAAATACCCATAGTTGTCAGTGAAGAAAGAAGGGGTTCCGGCTGGTGGGGCAATGTACATGACCAGGTACCAGAAGGTCTTCCAGAAAACAAACGCGCTGGTTGTGAAGGCAACAAGAAGGGCGTGACGTGATCGTTTGAGAGCCTGGAAATGGATTTATCATGTTGGATTAATCCCAAGAAAAATGTCTTACCAGGTAGACAGCTACGAAGTTCATAACGATCTCAATAAGCATAACACGTCCTGTGGAGCAAGTCACAACGTCTTTGGTATCGGCATAGCGGATGTCAACGGAGGAGTAGAGTTTCCCTGAAAAAATAGGCGACGTCAAACTGAAAATATGACAATTCGCTTATGAAAACTATCTGAAACTTGTTCGCACTATTTAAAAACGTTTGAGTACACTTTCAGTTTACTAGAGTCTAAGTTTCAGTTGACATAATTTTGTGGGATTACCGTAAACACTCTAATAGAACGCCACCCGGACCGTCTACTTTGAGCCCATGTATCTCATTTTCTGTGAGAGATATCAAAAAGTGGTTAAGTAATAAATGTTGCTAATATCATGATAAGTATTCTATTAGTTGTCACTTTTTGATATCTCTTCAAAAGAAGTAAGATATATAGGCTCAAAGGGACGGTCCGAGT